CTAAGACTGGTAAACATACACTAATACTATTATTACTACCAGATTATCAGATAATTGGGTCCTATCTTTGCATCTCTGTACCAGCACCTCTTACTTCCACATGCTCCTCTCTAGCCCGAGAGTAGAACTAACTCATATCTGCAAAAACCAAAGGAAGCATTTTCATATGATTGAGATGGACTTTCAGCCTAACATTTCATCAGATTTGCACTTTGAGGATTTGAAAGGCAGATAAGTGCTCCACGACCTCTGTTGACCACCCTCTTGTGTGACTGTTCAACACTTACCACATGCAAGACAGAAACAAGAAATTATAAACCTGCTCCACCACAGACCATTTCAAGGCCCTAATTCCACCTTAATATTTTAACTCCCCAAATATCTATCCATCTTTCTCTTAAATCTCTCAACTTGATTCCTACCCCTAGCTTTCTGGGGCTATGCTCAACTCAATCCTAACCTCGGCTCTGTGACTGCTTTTTGTCAACTTTCTCTTCCCCACCCCCTAACCAACAGGGTGGTACTTTCAGACCTCCTCCCTGCTGAAAAGCACAAACTAAATGTAAATTTTATTGTTTTGTAACCCATTTTGTCCTAATTTCATCCTCAGAACAGACAGACCCACCAGGCTAACAGCTACACCGCTTATTTTGCAGAGCCCATTCAGAATTTTAAACACTTACACAATAATCTTTACAATCGTACCTCATCACGAAATGTTTCAGAGCACTTGAGTTTTCTGCAAAGTAGTGATTCTCACCTGCTGCAGTACCTTGAAGTGATTCTGTCTGAGGTCCAATTGACAGAATGTTTGAGTTATCTGTAATTAACCATCACCTGCACCTTGTCATTCATTATTAATTTGTTGCACCTGTACCTGAGTCTATAGATATATTTACACAACCTGGAAAGTAGGCCTGGCCCCTGATAACATTATGGGCTATCCAATGAAAACCCCCAAAATTTATATTGTGATTACAATCACAGATATTTACAGCACAGAACAAGGCCATTTGGCCCATCGAGCCTGCAACAGCTTATTAAACAGAACCAGTCATGTAGATTTTTTTTTAACGTGTTTCAATGCATCAAGTAGGAAGTATTGGACTAGGTGTCATGCACACGGTTCTCTAACACAATCCTAATTGAGTCAATGTCCTCTAGATCCATTATCTCAAAGGTTACGTTCTAAGAAAAGTTCAAATAAATGGCTGACCTCTGGTTCTTCAGGTTACAACTGACGTATGTTCCTGTACATTGTTGGTAGGTGCTGCTGATGTACTTTAGGAATGTAGCAGGCAGGAAATAACGTTAGCAATGCTTCCTGCACAAAGTCAGCAGCGATCTTATAGTCTCATGTTTTTAAGAGCAGGAAGCTGGCCAGCCAACAATGGAAACCAGTTCAGACACCAAAGCGTTAAACAAGGCCACGCTATACCGACTTCTGAAGTAATATCACTCTGCAGTATATTTTAAAAAAGCAACCACACCTTACAGCTCAAATGTTTAAATTGATAGCAAATTGGTCAATACCTTTTCTGCAGACCACACAAACTCAATAGTTTTCTGAAGACTTGACAAGTACTTGAATTGTAAATGTGTTAACAAGGTTAATTTGTGCACCACAAGAGTTGTCAAGGCTAAGTAAAGTCAAAAGGCATGTGCGTACAGTGCAGGACTACAATTTCAAGCTAACCACATTGATGTAGTTAAACCAGATCTACTATCATCATAGCTGAGCTATATAATTACATTTTGGTGGGGCTCTAATGAGAAGAGTGGAATTTGTTTTGACCTCTTCAAATATACCGCATTACGTCACCTGCTAAAGAGTTCGGCAAACATAATAGGTCAAAGTGCAACTTTAGGGACCACCTCCTTTTACCCATTGATGCCCTTTTTATCCAGAATGCTTACCATGACCACAATGATCACTTAAAACTTTTCCAAGTACATTGCACCCAATGTCAGTTTTGTAACCTATCACTTTTGCCCTTATGCCCAACTCTGGATCACTCATTCTTGGTCTTGTCCAATCTTCCTCTGCCAGCCACAATCCCATTGCCTCAGGCTTTTGTCTCCCTTCATTCCGTCTCTCTCCTCACGTGTATCCTTCCTGAAGCCACTGCTCCATTATTCATCAGTCTTCTTCCACAATTGTCAGCTTGGCTCAATTGGGAGCACTGCTTCTGGATAAGGAGGTATGGATGTTTCTGCCCCATGTTAAAAAAAATTAGCTCAATTCAGGCTGACACTCCAGCACAGTATTGGGAAACAGTTTGTCAGAGGTACTATCCTTCAACTAAGATATTAAACCCAGGTTTTGTCAGCTAGTTCTGGTTGAAGTTTCAGATCCCAAGAGACTATTCAAAAAAAAAGTTTCTCCTAGTGTCATGGTCAACAATTTGGATTTAGAAGTTGCTGTTGTGCGTGGAGCTCTGGAACATCAAGGTGGGTGGCATAAAGCTGTTCTTCCACCATGTTGGTTGAATTGCTGATAAGGAAACTCGGGATGACAGCTGCTGGAGGCATTAGGTAGAAGCCTGGCTCACAAACAAACACTCCAACTAAGCTTTCTATCTAACTTTATTGGTACGCAGAGTGAAACAGCTGCTCCAGAGGCTCCTAACTTCCAACTGGTGGGTGGAACCATCGCTTTCACACCATTCATCCTGAGGCTTAAAAGGGGCTTCCTGACAGTGGTTATCCTCCCATAATGGCCTCAAACCTGCACGTGTCAATGACCAACTTGTGACTATCTTCCTCAGTTATGGTGGTGGGGGGGAAGGCAGAGGGGAAGTACAAAGAGTGATTGCACCTCGGACGGGGTGGGGGCTAAACAAGCACCAAGCTGGCAATGGAATATGGGAAATGAGCCACTAGTTTTTGGTGGTCTTCGTCCAGCTCCTTAACCAGGTATGTTTGGAGTACTCCAAGGCAGTACTCCAAGCACTGATGGTGACAGACTAACTGCTTTGATTGGCAGAACTTGGGAGAGGCAGACCAGCCACTGGCTGTTGGGATTCTTCCCACCAAGCTGTTAATCCTACAAGTTAAAGTCCTAATGGATAGGACTCACTAGACAAGCATCACTCACTAAGCAAACAGCTGGAAGCCTTCAAGCCAGTGCTTGAAATGGCAAGGAATCATTTGTGGCTGGTTAAACACTCTGGGATCTCTAAATCTCAGCTCTTGCTAATTAGGTAAACAGGATGTGTCCCCGTTAGGGACATTCCATTCCAGACCAATGAATAGGCAATGTACAGACAGCATGGATATGTGGAACCCTCAGTCTGGTTTGGATATTTTTAAGCATGGCAGTGGGTTTCAGCATTTGTCAGGTATCAGGCAGACAAAAAAAATCCAAGCTATCAATCTATCTGAAGGATTGATGATTCCCTTCATTTTGCGAAGCAAAGCTGCTTTGGGCATTACAATGTGCAAAATGCCTGTGATATTTCATTGCACTTGACACCAGTTGCATGTGAAGCTCTGCTGTTACAGATTCTACATCAAAGGATTATTATTAAGATTTTTCTCAGTCTGACCTCAGCAATTCTTTCCAAGCTGGATTCATAACCAGCCGACTGATCACACTGCAGCTCACCCAAGTTCTGTCCACTGCAATCAATTGCAGTGGCCAGAAAAAGCAGAGAAAACACACTTCATGCCTTAATGCAAAATCACCCCCCCCCCAATCCTCCATCGCGCCCCCACCTCGCTTTGTTCTGCATGTCTTGACTGCTCTGCTACACCATCAGCAACTGCGCCCTTCAGGCACTTCGCCCTGAGCTTCTGGAACTCCCTGCCTTAATCCCTCCAGTTCAACAACTATAATCGCAGTTTTCGTCTCAGCTGAGATTTACACAATCACTCCCAGGACACATGTTGACTGCGTGAAGTATAAAAATAACGAGCTTGGATTTATGACATTACAGCAAATGTGAAGGTTTAATCATCAATGAACAGTCTTGACTCAGAGGAGGTAGTGAAATTAGCAATCCCTTAACTCCATTTATCTTGTTAGCACTTGTGGTACACACATGCACTTACCTGAATACATTTCCAATTCAGTGCAGCAAACTTCACAGAGTCATCTGCATCCTGGACTGATTTAGGAATTACCTTGAATCTAGGAGATAGTTAACATAATGGGAAAAAAAACAGAAAAAAGAGATTCTAAAGAGTGTCATATATTGGGCAACATTCAGTTTAGTGAGCAATACTCCTCGTCTGTATGTCAATTTACTTTCTGTCTAGAACTGTCAGGATCCAGCAATTGGTTGTCATGTTGTCTGCTAAGTTTGGGAAATGTTGGTGAATTTCATCATCTGCAGCAAAGTATCAGTTGCTTTGGACAAGCTATTAACTTGTTTGTGCAAACTTTCAAAAGCAGCTCTGCTGGAATCCATGTAACCTGAACATTGTTGATGTTCCTTCTAATGGGAGTGGGGAGGGGAAGAGGTGTAGAAAAACAGACCATTCGCAGCATAGGCTAAATGAGTAACTGAGTGATTGGTTCAAAAATAATACGTCTTATATTGTTTCTTTTGTGTTGATACATAGGATGTAGTGCTAGTTTATGCAATAAAGTATTTGGGGCGGGGAGGGGTAAACTGTTAACTAAGGTAAGGGACATTAGCACTGAGATTGAGTGTCCAAAGTTCTCATTTTTGACAAAGTTGGCCAGCAGGATTGTGCGGTGCATTTTATTGGGAAGGGGTGTTTCACTCTGATGCTATCTTAAGACATGATACCACAACACCATAGATCAGCAAACTTTTAGGAGCCAATTAATATCCAATGAAGGGCAGCTCATCTTCACACTAAAAGACGATGGTCAACAGTGCTTTGCCCGGTCAACCAGTGAAGGACTTTCATGACTGTATTTATGATGATGATTTACTGACCAACCTTTTGTGTGAAAGTGATGCAGGGCTGCAGCCAGGACACTTCAAATGTGATGAGAAACGTTCATCTTCAGTCACAGAAATTGACCTTTATTCTTGTACTAATCAATTTCCTTTTGATACATTTGATACAAAGTAACATTCTTGTTTCAGCACAGAAAAGACATCAGTCAGTACCTGTTTACTCTATACCATCTTTGTCACTCTTCAACTGTACCCTGCAATAACTTATACTGGCAGAAACAGTGGGAGAGTTGAGTGAAGTGACTGTGAAGATGTGGGTCAACAATGGGATTTTTATTCCCCCATTAGAGGCACACATTGTTCATGTCACTCTGCTAATCAGAATATCATGCCCTTAACTCAATAGGATAATTTTCGAATTTCATATCAATTTAAAATGAAAACATCCCTTTTCGTTACAGAAAGCAATCTACGTATTTTGTTCAAATGAAAAAAGGCTGTCATGCACCAGGCAATTAGTGAAATGTTAGGAACAGTCTCAGTTTTTCTTTAATCTTTCAGTTGCATTAGTCTGTACGTACAGTAGATAGCTACCTAAAACATGATACAAACATGAAGACCAGAAACAATCCTGTGCTCGGTACACATGGATTCACAAGTGCAACATGAAAGCAGAGGATACAAATTGTCAAAATTTTGGCACAATATGTGGAAAAAACAAGCATATATAAGCATAGCAGATTCAATACCAATCTCCAGACAGTGGCAACACTACAATTATTTACTGTGCCTCATAGCTACATTTACTCTGACAAAAAACCCTAGCCAGGAAATATTTGAGGAAATAGTTCCACAAAGTTAAATAAAATCTATTTGACTGCTACACACACAGGATTTTTTTTAAAAAAAAGCTCAACATAACCTGCAAAATTGCACCAGGATGAGTCATTTTTAATATTTACAGCTTTTAGAAAGTGTCATATCAGCATGCTAGGCCCATCTAAACAGCTCATTAACCCTTGCTACATGTTATTAGGCCCAACAATTAAGTATTAGTTTATACAATATGATCAGAAACATTATGCTGTTTAAATATTAAGATTCATGCAGAAAAACAAATTTTCAACAGACAAAAATAAAAGCAACAAAACTGCAGTGGTCTGCCCTTTACAGGAGTGCACAACATTCAGAATTCACTCCAAAAAGTACCAATCACAATACTTTTGTCCTGACCACATGACTACTCGGTACCAAATGTTTTCAAAAGGGTTCAAACTGCCAGTCAAATTTCAGGGCACCATCAATATCACATAACCAGGTAAACCTGCCTAATTCACATGCACAAACTTCACCCTGTTCAAAGGGTTGCCTCATCCAAAAAACAGGAATAAGAAAAGTTTATAAACATTCAAGTAAACATTTAAAACAAATACTCAGGAAATTACTTGTAAACGTGTGGTTTCTAAGTTTTAGTTGCAGCATTACTTATTGAAACTGTTTTTTTGTGGGGTGGGGAGGCGAAAAGAGTAAAAATTCAAATCAGTCCTGTTTCAGCTCAATTTGAAATCTCTTACATGACAGAGAGTACAGTTGATGCCAGAATGAAGTGGAGTAGCACATTTAACAGTCTTTTTGCCCAACGTTCTCCAAAAGCCTTCAGACCAAAGCAAATCATTTGTAAGCTACAAGTCTATTCAACACACTGTATCCTTTCATGTGATCGGCAATCTTCAGATTGGTTGCATGCCTGTGTTGAACAAGTTCTGAACACTTCAATGACGATCTTCAGTGGGAGTTTGAGTTGCTTAAATGAGGTCCTAGAGTGTTCCAGCTGGAATCCATAGGACTTTGTTTTGTTCTTGATCAACAATTGTCATGATCTGAGTGCAAATGTAGGGCAGGCTGCCTCCTTGGACAATACCTAGAAGGGAGATGGAGGACGATTAACAGTTTTAATAAAAACTTATGTTTTTTTCCTATCCTTCAAAGTTGAAGCATGTGCCAAATAAATCTGTGTTGTGTCTGAATTTAACAACATGTCCAAGGCCACTTTTTTTAAAAAAATTAAAATTGAACAATTTTTGCGAATCATTTTACAAATTTATAAAACAATTTTTACAAATCACTTAATTGGAAACCTCACCTGCAATATATTATGCATCACACTGAACAAAAATGTCACAAAAATAGACTCCAAAAGTCATGGACAAATGAGACATTTGAGTCCCAATGGATTTTTTATTCATGTATGAATAACAATGAGAAAATTCTCCATAAATAGCCAATACTATAGGCAAATCTACTATTTTATAAATTGTATTGGCCAAATCCTACAAAAATAAACTGGTTCTTAGATTTAGGAGAAAGTTTCTCTTTGCTGCCTACAAGTTAAAATGCTGACATTTGTGGAGTCCTGTAGCTCAGTGGTTAGAGCACTCGCTTTGCAAGTGAGAGACCTGAGTTCAATTCCAGGCAGGTCAGGGCGAAACCTTGGGCAAGTTTCCTTACTCCACATGCCTAATAATAATCCCTCCAAAAACAGTAACTAAATTGGTCATTTTCAATCTACGACTGTTTGTGGGACATTGCTGTGCGCAATTGGCTGCCGCGTTCGCCCACAAATATACAGTCAATTCACTTTACAGTGTGTTCTGTGAAGTGCTTTGGGACGTCCTCCCGAAGTGAAAAGCGCTATATCAAATGCAAGTATTAATATTATTATTATTAATCTACAATTCAAGAACTGGAAGCCAGAGTAACAGATGCTTACCTGTGAAAAACTTGCTGTACTCTTGTTCAATTTTTTGAGCAGCTTCAAACTGTTCCTTGGAATGTTTCTTTTGCGTACCTTTATCTTTAAGAAAGATTGGATCCTTTTGCTCTCTGCAAACCAATACAGCCATAAGTGCTCGATGAAATACACATAGAAATTTAATATTTAGAAAAAAATTTGTTTTATACTGGAAAATAATTCACATTTTAGTATCTTGCATAAGAAACACACCAAATCCATTTTACCAGCTAATTATTTTAGTTTCTATTTTGTTTAAGTGAAGCAAAGTAATCCATTGGAGTTGTACTGCATGATTTATGACATAGATAATAACTCAATGAAATTCAGCCTAATTTCTCTGTAACATTTTGAAAAGCATGCACATTCCTAAGCTAGGCATTTTGTATCTTGAAAAATCCATCTCTACATGTTTACACAAGAAATTTGATCATTTTTCTTCTTTGTTATGTGCTCAATATAAATGAAAAATGTAAGAAGCTTTTGAATGTTTGAAGACCAAAGGTAATTAGAGTCCTGTAGCTCAGTGGTTAGAGCACTCGCTTTGTAAGGGAGAGACCTGAGTTCAATTCCAGGCAGGTCAGGGCGAAACCTTGGGCAAGTTTCCTTACTCCACACAGAGCCTAATAATAATCCTCCAAAACAAAAAACAATAATAAATTGGTCATTTTCAATCTACGACTGTTTGTGGGACATTGCTGTGCGCAATTGGCTGCCGCGTTCGCCCACAAATATACAGTCAATTCACTTTACAGTGTGTTCTGTGAAGTGCTTTGGGACGTCCTCCCGACATGAAAAGCGCTATATCAAATGCAAGGATTATTATTTTAATTGCACCTTATACTTTGGTACCATAGACTTTGATATAATGAACACATACATATATTTTCACATTGTAGTAGAACAAAATAGCCCCCACCCCCTTTTTTCAGTTGTATAAAAATACAAGCAAGCACTTAGGTTGCAGTCATCAATTTCATTATTAAGCATCAATGCCAATTTTGCAACACAAACTGTTGTAAATATATATAATTTAAAAAATGCTTTAATTAAGTTGCTACTCACTTTATTTGCTTTAAATTCTTGTACCGAATGAATATGACGATTGGATATATGTGAATTCGGTGAAGACGCTCAATGGCATGTGGTGCAATATCAAGCAAACAGTGGCAGTCCTAGAAACAAGAAGAGTACATTAATGAAACAAGCAAATAGTAGTCAATTACCTTCGCATAATAAAATATTCGAAAGAGGCAATGGGGTTAATTTAGGTCTGATAAACATGTTCAAAAGCACAACATGTTGTAGGATGCAATGGCTAGTCATATAACTGTAATAGAAATCAAAGTTAGAAACTATGGTACAACAATAGTCTATTATCTTAACTTTTAGGTCTGCTTTAGGACACAACCACGTCCTTTGTAACCAGCTACCAGAAGGTGCCCAGAAATTATTCTGCATTTCTGAAGTCAGGAAGGATGGGTGCAGAATTTGGAATAACAATATATTTTTTAAAGATTTCCATCAATGTCAGTGAATTTTTATACATTTTGGAACTTTTGCAGCATAATATTCCCTGAATATGTATTACTTTGTGTTGCAACACAATAATAATATACAATATAGAATATACCATAATGTGGAATATAATGTTAGAAAACATATTTGTTACTTTGGGTTGCACTATATTTATATAAATTGCACAAGTAGAACAGAAGAGCACCTTCTCAGTTATCTCTTTAATGGAAGCCACCGTTGTAACATCAAAATGGCCACTCCTCCTCTTGTAATCAATGAAGAGATAGTCTGCTACTCCTCGCTCAATTGCCTGCTGTGAAGCTTTCATAACCTCTGAAAAGAAAAAATGAGAAATGTAATACTGCAGCTTTCAATGTCAAGAAAGACAAAACTGATCTCTTTTACCAGATTCTTCAAAGAGCATCAACTATTGCGCTCATCAAAGCACTGTGCAAATGCCAAATGCTATGTGGATTGCAAATTGTATAACCTATGCATTAAAAGTTACTAACCCATAAAGGAATAGTGATCACATTTCTAATAAAACCACAGTCTGTATTAAAACCATAGAAATACATCTAGGAACTGAATTGTACAGACAGGTTGCAACTGAACTGGTAGGTAAACATAAACAAATGAAGAAACATCTAAAATAAAACTGATACGTTTTAAATAGCAACAAGGGAATGAATCCAAGTATGTAATCCAATTAAAGCCTCATCTGAGAATTTCTTTTAACGAGTGCATTTAGGTTTAAACAGAAATAATGCAGCTGATCTTTGAATTAATGAAAAAAAGTTGACAATTATGAAGTTTAAGAACTGATATTAAGCAAACAATAGTACTTTTTAAGGTCAATATGCAACTTTTCTTGAAACATTTCTTGCAAACTCACAAGGGAGGAATAATGAAGCAGTATTAATATATAAATCAGGCCACAAAGTAAACATGTAATAACATAAAAGGAACATACATTTTAGAATTAAAACACATCATTTGAGTTAAGCTTACCTAATGGGCATCGGCAGAATTTTCCAGGGGAGTCTTTGACTAACATATCCTTCACAGCATCCACCAGTGGTCCCAGGATAAGCACAGGCCTTGGAGAGGTGCACTCAATTTTCTGTACTCTTTGATAAGCCAAACTTCCACAATCTAGCAGTGAAAAATTGGTCATGAAACACATTTAAAATTTGATACACCACTTAATCTGAAACACCAGATATGTGAAGTGCACAAGAACTGTTTTTATAATAACTTGCATTGACCCTTTTAAAAAGGGTGATAAGCATGTGGAACAAACTAAAAGCATGTTATTAAAAAGCTTTTGATTAATGGTTGCATCACCACTGATGTTAATTAAATTCTCTCACACTGCTGGGCTGTCATTTCCCCATGTCATATGAACACAAAAAGTAAATAGAAAAGGGGCACAGGATCTCATTCTATTTGCAGAAAGAAAATCAGCAATTTCTCTAGTAGAATACATCCTGAATAGCAAGGATACAGTTGAAGTTTCCTCATCTTTCATTCACATGCGTTCAAGAAAGACAATCAGATGATAGTCAAACAAAATGTATACCTTCCAGCAGAGGGATGGAATCAGTGCTGATGGCATCAAGAGCCAACATCTCTTTTCCATCTTTTGAATTATTTCTTTTGTGTTTCTGCTTCCGCCGGAAAAAGGATCTTCGTGCTGCCGCAGAAAGAGTCTTAACAGCGCCATTTTCATCCTTGACCTCAGACATGCTGTGTCTTCTGCAAAACTCCTGGTCCATCCTATCAGAGATGACACAATCACCAACAGCTCAGATTTGTTTTGAAATAAATACGTAGCTCTTTGTACAACAGTCAGTTATGTAGCAATAAGAAAAGATACCAATACCATGTCCTAATAAGAACAACTCTTGGTAAAAAAAAAAAGCACATTTTAAAATAAATTCGGACTGTGATGCTGTCAGCTGTCAAGTGTGATTTTTTATATGTGAGTTTATTTGGAAGTGTGAAACAACTTGCACATAACACAAACACTTTTAAAATAATTTTGAAAGTCCTACTACAAAATCTAAAATGAAAACACAGAAAGCCTAATTTGATCTCAGCAACAAATATCAGAAGTCACCAATAAAATTAATTTCCTAGCGGCATCAAAACACACTAAATTTATCTCATTGTCCAAATGCAATGAGTAAAATTGTGTTGCTCTTGACTCGGAACTCTGGGATGCTTACATGTATTTGCTGGGGATCTGCCCTCTTTCTAGCTTCTGAGCATTTTCATCCAGCTGCCAAGCCATCCAATAACCAAAATTTCCTTGTGGCAAAGTGTCGTCAACATAGAGGATGTCATCTTTCTTAAAACTCAGATCATGTTCCACTTCTGCAACTCGGTCATAAAGTGCTCTGAAAGAATAAGTGGAGCCATTTTACACTGGAACTAAAGCAATGGAAGATCCATGCACAACACAAAATATTTAAGGGTCAGCATGGTAACCTACATCACCCATCAGATCTAATGAAAGATTCACAGTGGTAAGCACAGAACAACTCTTTTATAACAAGGTGTCTCAGATGAAAACAACAAGGCACCACAAAAAATCTGGCAACTACACTCCCTTGCAGAACACCAGGAACCACCAACAACTTATATTTATATCGTGCCCTTCAAGGAGGAAAACGTTTCCAAGCCGTTGAAGGGAACGTTTTACATCAATATTCATTCTACAGTTAACTACAAAATTGGCATAACTTTTTTTAGGTTTACTCATTAAGTATTCAGTTACAGTTTTCGCTAATAGCAATTATCCATCCATATGCCAAATTTCTACAGTTATACAAAACATTTTGAAGAGGCTCATCTACAGTCCACACCATGGATCATCGCAGATTCAGGTTACACCTCTCATATTTTTGTGATCTATACACATTCCTAGAGCTGAAGCTGTTCGCTCGTATTTTTCTGTATTTCTGAAATCTGCAGCTTCCCTAAAACAACAACAACAAGACAACAACAACAAGATTCCATTTATAAAGCGCCTTTCACATCAGGAGGACGTCCCAAGGCGCTGAAGGTAAAAGGTAGAATAGGTTAGATAATCATACTTGCAATAATCTTTCAGTTTACACATATTGAAGAAGAAATACCTGATAAAGAATCCATCCCCTGGCTCATCTTTGATCCTGTTGAATTCCTCGATCCTGTTCTGAGCTTTTACAGAGATTGCCTCTGTAGTTTTCAGCATTTCAACGTAAGCCTGTTCAGCTGTCACATTACGCATATCAGTGCCATTGTACTGCAAGCAAAAATGTACAGTTATGAGTGACACAAGCATTTATGTAAATCAGGCCTCATCCGAACCTCAAGTGTGCATATAATATTTAGTATTTTTTCCAAATAAAACTGTAAAAAAATACATAACACTGTTTTCTATTTCATTCTATCCCTTTGGGTCATGCACCATTCACACGCTCTCAACACGGAGAAGTAATGGGAAATGTAAATCTGATGTCCTACTCCAAACAACTTCACTGCTGGAAGTGTTGATGAATTTCTTCTGCTGGACAATTTTCCCAGCTATTTTTGACAACAACCTTCAGCTGTGTGAAGGCAGTACTATATTTGAAATTATATCAGAAAATGCTATTTTCATTGTTGACTTAGCTTTAGATGATGCTCACCTAAAACTGTAAGATTGCATCAAAATAAATAATGGCTTGGAAAAGGTGAGGGGGGCATGAATATTGTTGTACAGTCTACCTTTAACAAATAGAACTTCAACAGCAGCTTTCACATTCAGAAGCAACACATTCATACTCAATAAATGCTATCTGTAGAGCCCCACAATGAAATGTATTTATAAATATTTTCTGACCAACCCAAATGGTGTGGTGAGATCACAGAAAATTGGATACAATGACTTGATTCGAAATACAATTGGATGTTACAATTGGAAAGTTAATGCGTTTCTGTGCTGAGCTTTGATGGCTTTTCTCATCCCCAACCTTTCTTATGCTCTTAAAACTAATGGGAATGCAATTTATGAGTTTACCTTAGTAATATAGCATCGTTATAGATTTGACTGGAGGCAGAAGCCAACCATACAATTCACTGAAATTTTAAGCATTGAACAATTGAGAGGTCTATTAATGCAAAAAATATCTGTCAGAATTCTATTGCAGATTTGTTTCAAAGCAACCTGTGGACAAGATATAAGCAGACAGTGCAAAAAAGGAGAAATCTTAAGTCAAAAAGGAAAAGAAAAAAGGGACAGTGTATGGTACCAATGTTGATTGGGCTACAGTGCCCTCATGTGGTTGTTTTTTGTGTGACTTACTATAATTTTAAGACTTTCCCGATTTATATGTAAGTTCTAATTATTTCCTTCAAAGTTGGCATCAGATCTCATTTGATCCTGGATCAAATCCTAGATTTCTCAAGCATTGAGAGATTTTTACAATAAAAGCATGCGGTGTTAGCAATATAATCTTAGATGGACTTTTTTCAGGTTTAAATGCACTGTACAAAGAAAAGTGCAGTCCAGTCGCTTAATGGTTAGATCACTCGCCTCGCAAGCGAGAGAGAGAATCTGGGTTTGATTCCTGGGCAGGATGAAACGTTGGACAAGTTCCCTTATTTCACACACTACTGTTTACCAAGCTGTAAGTAGGAATCCGTTTGTTAGTCGATTGGCAGATTATTTTTCCGGGGGTAATAATCCCTTAAAAAAAATTTGGTCACTCAATCCACGAATGTTTGTGGGACACTGCCTTGCGCAATTGGCAGCCGTGTTTCGCTCACAAAATATGCAGTCAATTCGCTTTACTGTATATTCTGTGAAGCTCTTTGGGAAGTCTTGAAGATGGGATAAGGCGCCATATCAAATGCAAGGATCATTATTATTTATTATTATTATCGATTTAAACCTATTCCAGGTTTGATACAATCGTTTTACCTCCAGTATCTTATCCCCAGGCACAAGCCCATCAGGGCAATTTGCTGGGCTGTCATCTTCTACCTTTGCCACATATACTCCATGTAGATTTCCACCACAAATCTGGATTCCCAGGTCGACCTGCGTCTTCTTTAAGAAAATAAATCTTGGCTCAGTTCTCAAATCTGCCGAGTCAACAGACTTCCTGTTTAAGTAAAAAGGTGAAGAGGGAATGAGGAAGAATAAGAAAGAAATAATTTTAGTGCAACTAAACCTTGATCAACAAATTTATCAAGACAGGTGATGCTTGAATGACATCTATAAGATAAGATGCTTAAAAAGCATTGTGGCACCTACAGCTCTCACAAAGAGCACTCCAATTTAACCACACAATATACTCAAAAGTTCAGAAATTTATTTTGAATATCCCTGCTAAAAAATATTTTGTGACATTAAACACCATCAGTTCATCATTAGAAAATGATCAAACCAGAAAACTAACATATTGTACACAGTTCAACTCTGGCAAGACTTAGATCAAAGCACTGTTGAATAGCTTAAATCCTCAGAGATGCATCACTCACCTCATTGAGTCACGTGGACTGGTAGTTGGGGTGGTTTGTTTTGATGGTGGTGTTATTGTTCCCTCATCTTGTTCACTCACTGCATCGATAATGGAGTGACTGTCAGGTGTAGTTGCTCCACTGCCTTGGGGAGTTGAGCGATTGCTAATTGGCTCCAAGCGAGAACTGACAACACAGGTTTATATAGAAACCAAAAATTAGTAGTCTAAACACCTGGAATAAATCTATTTTTACAAGCATCTAACCAAAGTCTGTGAACAATAATTCACACTCATCTTACAAGTCTAATAATCAAAGTAAGAAAATACAAAAGCATAGTTAAAGAAAATGTAATTTTTACAGCAATTCTCTGATTGCTAGTTAATTTTGTGTCTTGCCAGGCAAGAATATTGCATTTTTCTTCAGTCTATAAATTTATGGAACTTGGTGATGTGAATTTATAATTTAATTTTCACCATCCCCACATATTTGTCTTCAAGGTGATATATGAATGCATCTCAGAAGCAAATACAATTTCTTGTAAAATTCCTGTGAAACTATAATAAAATATAAAATGTTCGTTTCTGGGGTCTCACCTGGAACGAGAATGGTTACCCAGTTGATACATGTGCGGATTATATTGTGCCAACATAGTGATAGTCTCACAGGGCTCTGTCTGTCCAATAATTAATCGAGCTTGCTGTTCAGTCGCATTCCTCAGATTAATGCCATTATACTGCCAAAAAAGATAACTTGCAATAAAATACGATTTATTGAGACAAACAATTCTAAACTCCCTTATTATGGCACCACCTGAATGAGTGCAACTTCTTCAGCACTGTAAGACAGATTAATTTAAGTACCAGATGAAGAATACAAAGATATAAACTAACACGTAAAACAGTAAGTATGTAATAAACCCATTTGAATTATTTCATTACAGGCAGCACCTCTACCATAGTGGAGTCCTGTAGCTCAGTGGTTAGAGCACTCGCTTTGCAAGCGAGAGACCTGAGTTCAATTCCAGGCAGGGTGAAACCTTGGGCAAGTTTCCTTACTCCACATGCCTAATAATAATCCCTCCAAAACCAAAAACAATAATAAAAATTGGTCATTTTCAATCTACGACTGTTTGTGGGACATTGCTGTGCGCAATTGGCTGCCGCATTCGCCCACAAATATACAGTCAATTCACTTTACAGTGTGTTCTGTGAAGCGCTTTCGGACGTCCTCCTGACATGAAAAGCGCTATATCAAATGCAAGGATTATTATTATTATTATAGGATAATCAACATTAATCGTTGAACAGCATTTACCTCAAGAAGCTGGTCACCATATTCAAGTCCTGCTTGATGAGCAATGCTTCCTCCGACTACTTTCGAAACAAATATCCCTCCATTTTCTCCACTTACAATCGATATTCCAAGGGGTTCTGTGCCTTTCTGCACTGTCACGTGGCGGGGTTCTTGTAAATAAGGCCTTTGAATAAAATAATTTTAAATCTTATTTGGCATAATAATGAAATTTGTTTATTTAGTTATAAAAATAGAAATCACAGAATGGTACAAACAATCAAGGGTCAGTGTATTTTTAAATTGCTGAGCCAAGATAACAAATATTATTGGTACTTAGAAGTCGGTTTTAAATCTAGCCCAAGCAGATGATAAAGGAGGTCTCATCTATGACAGATTTAGAACCAAAGGAGAACTGTATTTCAACTTTCATTCAGTTCACAGTGAGCACTGGCTCACATGAGGAAAACCATCTTGTTCAGACAGGCTAGAAAGTGAGAAAGAACATCAAACATTAAGGTACATTCCCTAGTCCATGTGGAGAGGTGGGAAACTTGATACAGGAGAGATTGATTTCACTGAATAGAAAATTGTATTGTTTTCCAACATTGTCATCCTTTTGAAAAGCAAACATGCACAAAATGTGTACATACATGTACAAAAGCTGATTTGCAATGCCTTCAAATCATCTTCATTTTGTAAACTTTATTATGATCAAAACAGCACAAAACAAAATCCGCAATGCAAACAGTTTCTCATTGATAGGGAGACGGTAAAGTGACTTCGATGGCAAATATTACTGGGTGTTCAAGTCTACCCTGACAGCAGCTGACATAGCTTTGTGTAAAGCCAAGGTACTCCTTTACTCGGCTTTTAACAAACTGATGTTGTTTGAAGAAAAGTGAAGTTAATCACCAATATATAAATGAATGTTTCTGTTATTCAGATACATGTGTACGTTGAAAGAGATTATCGACACACAGGAAATGGGGAGTAAAACTCGACTCTGATGTTTGTAATGGTAACCATCATATCTTGTAAGCTGTTGGTCGACCGCTCCATTTTTTCCACAAATTATTCAACTGAGTAATTGAATTTTAGATTCTGAATATTTGATTGCATGGTTTCAAATCTTCAGATTGGATAAGAAAATTTTCACACAACTATTGGGAAGTTAAGCTGTTACAGGATATAAATAACAATAATTCAATGCATAATAGTACATAACAGTCAGTAATAGAAACCTGATTAACTGAATATCTGAAAGCATTTGTATGTACCTGTAAAATATACCCAATTTCTGAACACACGTTTGAGAAAAACTGTCAATATTAACTGTGCCCAAATCAAGCAGATTACATTTGAGCTAATTTATTCTTTTTTTGTAACAAAATCAGTCTACTAGAAATAATTTTTTAAACAAAACTGTGTAGTGGTTTATATCTGTGGAGGGATGAAAACTACATATCTTTGAACACTTAACCAAATGCAAATTGCCCAATATGTATTGGTATGTGTGAACAGATAAACGAGAGCTCATTTTTAAATGTGTGCAAATGGGTCAGTCTGCAAATATTTTGATTGATTGTGTATGTGATACATGTGTGAAATACACTAAATATGATAGTAGAGATCTATTCACTTTTGCCACCTTGCCTACCATCATCCCCATCTCTCACTTATTGCCTCATTCACGCTTTTGTTACCACTCAACTCAATTTCTCAAACACATTCCGAGTTGGTCTCCCTAATCCCACCATCCACAAGCACCTGCTGATAAAACGAAAAACCTACAGGGCCTATGATTACCTTCCCCTTCCAATCTTGCTTGGTGCCCCACCTTGTCTTTCTGAAGTGTTCCAAAACATGATCCCATGTGAAAAGCATGATACAAATGCATGTTTTTGGTATATGGTATTGACTCTGACAAATCTTTGGAAGATTAATATTGGTAAACATTATATTGGCAAGACCAATAGAAAATTGGGGACAATCAATGATTAAATTACACCCTATATTTTTCCTCTAGTTGGTCTAAATCTGCTAGTTGTAGCGTTCTGGACCTCAGTGGTTAAAGCATTCGCCTCACAAGTGAGAGGAACTGGGTTCGATTCCAAGGCAGGGCAAAACAATTGGCAAGTTTCCTTACTCCACATGCCTCTGTTTACCTAGCAGTAAAAGAGGAACCCGGTTGTCAGTCGATAAGGAGAATCGCTTTTCTGAGGGTAATAATCCCTTCAAAAAATAAAAATAATAATTTGGTCACTCAATCCAGGACTGTTTGTGGGACACTGCCATGTGCAATTGGCTGCCGTGTTTTCTCTAAAAACAATTAATTTGGCGAATGATTGAACAGGGTTCTCTTAGAAAACATACCCTCCTTTTCAATACTGTCATGTGCAGGCAGTGCAACTTTTCATTCAAAATATAGCACTTCCATCAAAGTAGCATTCTTCCCAGTCCTGCACTAGAAAGTAGACGATGAGCTCCCAAGTCTCGATATATAGATTGTACCCACAATTTTCCTACTCAGAGGCGAAAGTGCTAACAACTGTGCCAAGATAACAGGTTAAATATTAGTTTTTAAAACTAGTTATTAAGCTTTTCACACACAAATATTCTCCAGCCATTACTAGAAATATGCAATATTGGTTTGATAAATGTCCTTCCCAGCTAGAACCTAAATTATTTATTAGTACCAACCTCAGGCTAATATGTATGCACAGAAATTATTATAGCCTGCATTTGTTCGGCCTGTGGTTTGACACAACTTGACAAAAAATATTTTGATAAACTATTAAGGCATTTAAATTATCAATTTACTGCTGTCAGGCAGACTGGAGAGCCTCAAGCAAGCAGTGACTTGCATGGGATTTGAGTCACCATGCAAGTACTCCCTCAGATAATCTGCAATCATTGGGAAAAGGAAAACAGCACACAGAAAGCGGAACCCAGAGAATTGCGAACAAGAAAGCAAATCAAACAGCAAGCGGATTTGTAACAGGCCAACCTCAGACTCCGTAGTGATGAGAATCGAGGCCTGGGAGTGAGAGGAATTCTCAGAAAGGACCTATTACGGAATAGGTATCTAAAAAGAAGGTGGAAGAGTTAAAGGACAAACAGTTGCAGAGAAAGAAATCAGTCAACAAGGTCCTAAACTTTTAGTTCAGAAATTTGAGAAACAAGAGATCTATGCAAAAAGAGAAGCCCTCAATCAATTCTGAATTACAAGCTGGTTTAACAACAGTAACAAAAGGCAAAAGAAGAATTCTGAATTTACAACAACATTACATTTGTATAGCGCCTTTCATGTCGGGAGGACTTTATAATCTACAAAAGATATCCACAATAAGCCTTTATAATCTACAATAACATTTACCACCACTTTCCATTTAATAAAATGGAATTTCAGCAGCTTAAGGCCAGATAAATAGAGTATTACAATTTAATAATTAAACTGAAAATTTACTAAAAAGTAATTTACTAAGCACAATTAGATCTCCTCCAGAGCCACAATTCAAATTGAAAATGTGGTAATTTTCTAATAAAAAAATACTTCTATGATCAAAATTTAAGCTACAATTTTTGGGGGATTTTATATATAGATTCCAAAATTAGATTTGGTCCATTCAGCATTTTAGCATTGAACAACATTTGAATATTTTGAAATACATTTGTAGGCAAGCACAATGCAACCTGTCTGGTTTATTGTAATAATTCCAAAAAGTTACATGTAGAGCTATCTAACAATTGCAATCTACAATTTGGTTTATCAAGGTTACTCCTGCTTTGGGAATAAAAATTATAAATCATTTCCAGATTGTTACAGTGCAACTAAATCCAATGCATCTTCATTTGATTTGCTTGGCTGGCATTTAAAAACACGAGTTCTATTTTACCTTGCAGAGTGCTGGCCAAGTATTTTAAGGCAGAAATAGATATGTTCATCAGGAACATTAGGAATAGAACTGCCAGAGTTATGGAATCAAACATTGTTTTTAAATGCCATTCTGCATGGTTTTGTTCCAACACATTTTACGTTGAAATCAAAAACGTGAATAGAATGTCAATTCCATAAATCATTTCTAGTAAACCTGTTCGGTGTTGATGTGACAACAACAACAAAATGACATTTGTATAGCGCTTTTCAAGTCGGGAGGATGTCCCAAGAAGCTGGACAGACAGAGTTACGAACCCGAGCTGACAGTGGGGTGAGCAAGACAGGGCACGTGAAGCAGGCCGGAGCCCGCTGAGCGGAGGGAACGAACAGGGTTGTAGGGGGTTAGAGATAGGGGGCAGCAAGACCTTGGAGGGCTTTGAAGGTGAGGACCAGGATCTTGAACTGTATCCTCTGTGTGATGGGAAGACGTGGAGTTGGGCAAGGATGGGAGTGATAGGGTCACAGAGCCTAGTGCGGGAGAGGACACGGGATGCAGAGTTCTGGATGAATATTTCAGCGGCCTGCGGTGTGAGACTGTGTCGGAGCTGGGCGATGTTGCGGAGGTGGGGGAAGGCAGAGCGGGTCATGGTGCACACGTGGAGTAGATAGGATAGATGAGGGTCAATCAAGACCCCAAGGTTCCAGATTGGCTTAGTAAGGTGAAGTGTGCAATCATGGATGGTGATGCTGTCAGCGCCTGAGGTGAGGAGGCACTGATGGGAGCAAATCAGGAGACCCTGAAGAAGGTTAGCTCTCATCCAGGACTTGATGTCTAACAGACATTCTGTCAGCACAGTAGTGGTCCTGGAGTCAAGCGTGGAGGCAGAGAGGTAGAGTTGGGTGTCATCCGCATACATGTGGAAGTTGACCCCATGTCTGCAGATGACGTCACCAAGGGGGAGCATGTAGAGGGTGAAGAGGAGGGGACCGAGGACAGAGCCCTGAGGAACACCGCATGAGACGGTCCAAGGAGAAACCATTTGAGGAGATGAAGTGCAGGCGGTGTGAGAGGTATGATCTGAATCAAGGACAGTGCCATGGAGGTGGAGGCGCCATGGCTGCCCAAGAACACAGACTATCATATTCCTCATTCAATGAATGAAGCTAAAAAAAAAATTAGTTTGGTTTCCACAGCAAGTTTAATTAAGTCAAGCAGCTAAAGAAGAAACAAACTGCTTCATTAACAGAAGATCATCTTAAAGACAAATAGTCAGACTGAAGAAACAAAGGTATTCAGATCGCATTTTGACATTTGCTCTGTACTCACCTTACAATGAAGCATAATTCATGAAATAAATGCATAATAGACACATTTTGTGCAAAAAGATATGAATTGTATTTTGAGAGTAATAAATTTAATTTAGTTCCAGCGAGAGATGTCAGCACTCAGTCTACCGAGTGATTTACTGGATAATCTCTGGTCTTCTTGAAATGTATCACCTCTCACAGAGACAACACTACTTCCAGCATAATTTATACAAATGGATGATTCCAACACCTCAATGTTCACACAAGTTAACGTCTATGAATAAAGGCCAATTTTCAACAGGGTGATAACATATTTCTCTGGTCTAATACAAAATTATATCAAAATGTAGTATTATAATTTGGACTAGAACACCTTAATAGACCACAAGTGTTCCTGATGATACTAAATTCTCCATAGTTAAAATTATGAGAGAAATGTTCCCATTTATGATTCCAGGGCCTTGGGACGTACACACAACATGAAAGGTGCTATACAAATGTAATTTTGTTGTTGTTATATTAGGAAATATATTTTAAGCAAATAGCTAAAGGATTTGAGTACAAAATTTTCCCTTTTCTGTCACTTTGAAATTCTGAAAACATTTTGCGGATATTGGGATTGGTTCAAACTGACAATACAAAAGTCAAACAAGACATTCCCAAAATCTTTATCAAGATGGAAATTAACCCGCTATCTTAACCTAAAGGTCATGAAATGCTTTGCTGTACTGTTTTTGCATTTTCCTTTCAACAGGGAGACCAATAAATAATCCTTGCATTTGACCTACTGCCTATAATGTCAAAATGGCTGAACGTTTTTCACAACTGCTGTGAAGTACAAATATTGTTGGGGAATACGGCAGCCAATTTGCGCACAGCAAAATCCTATTAACAGCTTTTAGCTTTGAGACGTCTCAAAGACACGATAAGGCGCTATATCAAATGCAAAGATTATTATTATTATTATTAATTAACGTGCACCGAAACAAGCAGATGGAACTCAGTTTCATATCTCATCTGATGTATGGCAAAGCACAGCAACACCAGCACTGAACTGGACTACCAGTGGGAGTTTAAATTTTCGATGTGGGCTTGAATCCACAGGCATCTGACCCAGAGGCAAGAGTGTGATAGACTGAACCTGTCTGATATCTGGCTGATCAATATTGATCAATGTGAACATTTTAAGAGTTCCAATAATGATAGTCCATGATTTGAATTTTCTGAGCAATTCAAGACAGATTTGAAGAAGAGTTGCACAAAATAAAAAGCACCTTGTTTAATACAGAGCAATATTTTAATTTTTATGTCAAAAAACAGTTTTGCTAAAGTTAAAAACGCAGTGGATGCAAAGGGTGGAGAAGCTAAGCTCTCAACATTAAAATGTAAAATAATTACAATAGGAATGTACTTGTACCTGTCCTTCCTGCGGTCTCCTGTAGATACAGGACTGATGGAAATTTTGGTTAATGATGAAATTGAACTCTGCGACTGGCTACTGCCAAACGATGACGTCTCCAGATTCATTGGTGACTGTGGTGGTGTAATCAGACTGGGACTGCTGCGCTCAGAACCTGATTGTAATAAATACAGATGAAAGATAAATTGGATAATTTAGGAAATTTTATTTTGACAAAGGATATGCCTTTATGCTCTTGGCAATATTTAATAGTGGCTTGCTCCAGGTTTATTTCACAATTCAATCTGCAGCATTTTAAATGATCAGGGAACTCAAGGTTCTGACGAAGGGTCGTGGACCTGAAACCTTGACTCACTTTCCTTTCTCCATAGATGCTGCCTGACCTGCTGAGTGTTCCCAGCGACTTATTTTTGTTTCAGATTTCCAGCATCTGCAGTATTTTGCGTTTTGTTCCAGCAGGTCGTGAATAGTTCTCAAGGCCGAACCTAACAAAACTTATCTAAGGAGTTTTAGAAATCTTGGGTAAGCTGTTCAGTTTCTCTGATTGAGTAGTTCTGAGACAGTCACACACTTAAGCCCATTTAGTTGTCTAAACAAGAAAACATTCATCCTGACCGCACAATCATCTCTTTTCTTTGCATTCCAGGAAGGAAGGAGGCAGCATGGACACACAGGAACTTGATAGGAAAACAATATTGGGAGCCAAGCAAATCAAATACTACTATGTATGGGAAAAGGTTACAAACCTCTATCAGAGCCTGTTGTTAATCTGGGGTATCGTGTGTTGGAAGGGATCCGAATACGTCCACTTTTACTTGGAGCAAAAGCCAGGCTACTTGAAGAACCTGCTGAAAAGTTAAATAAATTGTTCACCTGTCCCTTTTCTATCAAGGCACCAATAAAATGTAGTATATAAATCGTAGACTTATACCAATGCGTGCACTAGCAGGTAGGGATTGTGTTCCATGGGGTGGGGTACTTCGAGCAGACTCAGACAAATCACTTGATCGCTTGTGGTCTGGGCCAGTCAGGTCCAAGCTGTGGTGTGCGTGATGCTGTGGGCTACAATAATGAAAAGATTGTAATTCAATTTGTACTTATACCGGTAAATAACATTAACAGAAGTAGTGTTAAAGCAATCATTTGGTCGAAAAAAACTGAAGGGGACAAAAAAAATGAAGCTACCACATACATAGATGTGATGGTGTTAAAAATCTTGAGTAAGCAATCAAGTTTGCAGTAAAAGTATTAACTTGCAATTTTAAAGCACCTCATAACACTGAACGTATCTCAAAGCACTTCACAACTAATTACTGTTAAGTGCAGTGACTGTTCTAGTAGGCAAACATGCTGGATCTCCACTGTTTTAAAGATCACTACTACAAACATTCTTACCTTAAGTTGTCAAAGGCGTGCATAGATTCTGGAAAGCAAATAGCGCTCCGTGGCCTGTGCCTGGCCCGTGGAGAAGTAGCACTATAACTTTCAGTTGGTGAATGATTCCGTGTTCTATTTCATAAGAAAAACAAATTACAAGGAACTTTAGAAGGTTTGAAAATAAATTACTATTTAAAATTATTTTTCTTTACTCAAATGGTAATCAACAATTGTCATGATCGAACCATGACACTGAACTCATTTAAAAAGGAGCTGTGATGGGGTGATGGTAAAGTGGGTGTACTGGAAGGAAGGGTTTAGATAGGTTTGAGGGCCTTCTTCATTCAAATCAATCTTGTGAATTTACAATTTTCTGAAGGATGACAGTGTTTATTTAGACATATGGACTCAGACTAAAAAGAGAGTGCTATTAAGTGACTAATACCTGTGCAGGGGATGTGGATAACACATCTGGCTAGCCATGGAAGGATAGTTGGCGCTGTGGACCATGCGGCTGCGAACAGTGAAGAAAGGAACATTTGGATTCCGCAGGACTGATGTCACTGCTGGGCAAGGCACGAAGCTTCGCTGTACATTGCCTGTACACAAAAGATGGAGGTGGCAAAAAAAATCCAAAACTAATTAATCATTTATCTTCAGCCATATATTCCTCGATTCTAATTAGGACTTCTGATTTTCAGTTTTAACCTCCAATACAAAAAAAATTGCTTTTTATCCTGTAATTCCCAAAAAACACTGCAAATGGTTACCTGTCCTGAGGCCAACTGCACATGTGTTACTCTCTTTCTCCACTTCTCCCTCTCCCCTCTGTATGCGCAGACGCATCTAGTGACTCCTTGTGAGAGGAGGGAGGCGCTGTGGAAGAGTGAGGGTGTTTCACTCCCCTCCTTGTGCGGCGGCATGTTTGAATCTTCTCATCACAGGTAAGTGAAAGCCCCAAAAAACACAGATTTTTTTTAGAACTCCAAAAAAGCTAAAAACATAAACCCCGAAAAATGAAATTTTGAAACCCTGAAAATCAGAAGCCCTGATTATAATTGAAATGCAGATGACACAATTGAATTATAGAAGTGAGCAAGGCTCCCCCCATTAGACAGTACAGGTGGACAATACCACTCAGTACGTCTCCAACAATGTCTTTCCAAACTGCACAAAAACAATACATTTCCAAGAATAAAGAATATTCTTTATAAACTTGCAATATTTTATTGGCAACACAATATAGTCCATTTCAATATGGATCTTGTCTATCTGTTATATTATCTTATCTTACAATTTTACTATTGTGTTCGAACAGAATGATCCACAGCTAATTGCCTTTCACTGTTTTGCTTTATTTCTGTTTCTACAAACCAAATATCAGGATTTAATTACAAATGGAAACATTTTAGCATCACATAGCCATATGCCTTGGACTTGATACAATGACAATGTATACATTGGGAGATGAAGTAACCAGGAAATCAGTCTAACCCTCAAAATACTTTCGATTTAAGGCTGAGAAGAGGAGACCACTACTTTCTGGGGAATTGTATTGACTTTACACTCCAAAAGTCCTTTACGTTTTCAGTGCACCCAAATTTACAAGTTCACAATTTACTTTCTGCAATTGTAATAGAACACAAATAATCTACACTGAAAATATGTAGATTCTACAATCTTAGCAGCCAAAGAAAAATCAAATGTGTAACACTATAATAGTTCACAACTTCAATCCTTTCTTACTATTAAAGATGATCAAAGTCCATCAACAAAATTTTAAGAAATATACAACCTGGAAATTAATATACAACCGATAAATACTAAGGAATATTCACATCTGTTTATAAACTTGCCATCTAACATACTAAGTTTATGGTTATGGGAACCAACCTGATGACACGGGACAATTATATACTGTTGGTACATAGCCAACGCTGTGTCGATGCGAACGTTTTGGCGTGTACCGGTTCCATTCTTGCAGTTCCAAAGAAAGACGTTCTTCACTTATGTTGCATTTGGGATTTGGAGAGCGGACTGCGATACTGTCATAGTGGGAGTGAGGATCAACATTGTCCTGTGAAATAAAAACCTCATTGAAATAATTTGCAGTACACCAATTCCTCTCCAAAAAATGTTTACTGTGTTGATGGCTAAATCCCATGTGTGAAATGTCTTGGGATGCCTGACCTTTAAAGAAATTTTCATCTTTGTATCAAACAATACTAATCCCTGCATTTGATATAGCACCGTATCACTTCTTCGAGACATCTCAAAGCGCTTCACAGTGCGCAGCCTTATTTCCTCTTGTTCATTTGAATCATATCATTGATTTGATCAACGTGGAGTAAATGGTTCCCAGTGATCCCAATGTGTATAAATCTAACCCCTTCAGGTACACTCACGTAAAACAGATTCAAAATTAGGTTTGCTCTGCGTGCCAGAACCTTCACAAACTATCTAACCAAGAAGTGAGGAAACATACACATGGTGCATTGTTTGAGATACTGACCACCAAAGCCAAATCGGTAACTATGATAAGGTAAAGGATTGTTGGACCTAACTGTGGAATGAGAAGTTGCCCTATTACTTGAAGAAACCTTGGAACGTTGAGACTTCATTGCCAAGGTAATTGAGGTAATTGAAGATAGCTGGCGACATGAGGGAAATGGCTTCAGTGTGGGTGTCTGAGGGCAGATATGACTCCCAGGATCAAATAAATGTGGACTGCGTTTAATTTTTCCATTCTTCATTTGGTAAAGGTTTGGGTTGACCTAAGTGTGAATAAAATGCTGATTTTAGTTCCAAATCTGACTTCACTAGTTTGTTCTTGGCCATAACCACCACCATGTCTCACGGTAACTAAGTTTTACCTTTAGAAAACTACCAAGAGGCACAACACGAAAAAAAAAAAGAAGCTCTTGACATTCAGAAATCAAATGTACTCCTACCTGAGGGGAGAGCCCAGTGATAGCCAAGGGAACAAGCTTCTGTCTTAAAGCAGGAGCTGACTTTGGTCGGCGCCTGTTCACTGGCTCCAACTCCTCAACTCGCTGGCTACTTTCTTCCTCAGATGAAGTCCTTGAAGACGCAATGCTACTTGCCTCCAAATAACGAGTGGGCTTATAGTGGCCAGCATTTTGGTCATGAGCTTCGTGTGTAGTGTCCTGTTTTATACTACATTGGGGCCCTGTTGGGCTGGTTGGGGGTGACCCAGTGGTTATTGTAGAGTCTGAAGCAGAGCTAGTCTGCTGTTTATGTTTAAACTTGAATGAATCACTCCTCTTAGGTGGTGTGGGAGGCGTTGAACCCAATTCAGCCTTTGAAGATTGTGATGAGTGAGCCTGCATTTGTGTTGAGGAGAGATAATCAATCTTTGGGGGTGTCTGTGGCCTTTTGAAGGTATCTGGATCAAAGATGGGCTTCCTCTGTTTTGGCAGCTTGAATATAGAGAGTTTCCCAGGTTCGGAGGGCGAAATGTCCACCATCATTTTTGGCCAGGTGCCCCCACTGTGTTTAGTACTATGTTCCTTTTCAACACCAGTTTCTACCATTATGCAATCTGTAACTGTAGGATCAAATGTAAATCGTCTTTTGTCAGGTTCCAATATTCCATAACTTCTATCAGAAAACATATCAGGATTGAAAGGACCAGAATTACGATCTGAATTACTATGACAAGTGTGTTCAAGTGTCCTACTAGTATTAGGCTTCAAAGAACTGCTAGAAAATTGTTTGTGTTCACAATAAGAGCCATCTTTGTGATTGACTCCACCCTTTTTGTCAAGTATGCTCAAGTCTGAACTGAAAATGTCCGTCTGTGTCGAGCTGTTGTGCTTCAAGTTTCGAGAGTTTGGAACCTGTACTTCAGATTCATGAACCCTACAGATCGCAGATTTTTCTGACTCCTTTAGTGTTTCAAGTATGTTCTGTCCACTCCAAGAGGAACTCTGAGGAACCACCTTAGCAGAAGGAAAAATATGTTCACTATACTACACCAGTAATCGGCAATATAGTACAAATAACATTCATTTAAAGAGTTTAGCATTTAAATAGTGAGCATAAGGGTATTTAAATTGGTGAAGACTAACAAAGGCATTATCAAAAGAACTAACTGTTATATTTACATACAAAACTAATTAAGCTAGGTTTAAGAGAAGCTGCACCAAATATACAAAGCTTTTATGATGGACAGTACAACTTCATGGCACCATGGCCTGTTAACTGCGTCAGCTTCAATGGTAATTAACTTATCGGACTTTTTAACCTTTGTCTTTCATAAATATTGTTCGTGTTCAAAGATAAAATTCAAATCCTACAAATTTGACAGTTTTGCCACAAAGGGTGGTGATTAAAAATTTATTTATTTTTTAAAAAAATATTAGTAAGTAACTTACTTTACTAAGAACCTTATAACAAATAAAACGAGTTTGCAATTGTTGACAGGATGAAGAATCATGTAATGACAATTTATAATATTCATCGACAAGGTCAAAAAGCATTTCCAAATGCTTTAATTACTACAGGATTCCTATATTCATAATTTGAGCATGTCCATACATGCTTTCATTACATCGAGGCAAACTCACTGCTTGTCAGCCTCCCCAACTCCTCACTCCACAGGCTGCAGATCATCCAGAACTCTGCAGCCCGTGTCCTCTCCCGCACTAGCCTCCACGACCCTATCACTCGCATCTTGCCCAACTCCACTGTCTTCCCATCACAGAGGACACAGTTCAAAATCCTGGTCCTCACCTTTAAAGCCCTCCACGGTCTTGCTCCTGTCTACCTCTCCAACCTCCTACCACACTGTTCGCTCCCTCCACTCAGCAGGCTCCAGCTGCTTCACGTCCCCCACTTTGCTCGACCCATTATCGGCGGGCGGGCCTTCCGCCACTCTGCACCCACCCTCTGGAACTCCATCCACAGCCCCTGTCTCATCCCCTCCTTCGCCACCTTCAAGACCCTCCTCTTCGACTGTGCTTTCGATCTCCCTGCTTCCCCGCCTGCCCTCTCCCTCTCCCACCCCGACCCTCAGCTCGAGTCCGTAACTTTGTCTGTCCAGCGCCTTGGGAAGTCCTCCCGACTTGAAAGGCGCTATACAAATGTAATTGTTGTTATTGTGTTGCGAATCAGAATATGAAATATTGAAGTTCTTTATTACAATCATGTTAACCACATGCAAATCTGCAAGTGGATATTAATGTTATAGAGGGAAGTTGTAGGGTTCAAAACTAATTTTTGTCCAAAAAGATGTTTTTCTTAAAAATTAAGCATGCACCATAATTTTAAAAATTTGGAAGAAGGTTCTTTTAAAGAACTATGTAAAACTGGCTTTCAAACTGAGGCATAATTTAAGAATTTTCCACAATTCTATGTGATCTTTAATTTAGGGCTATCAGCTTACAGGCTTGTAATTGATGAAATTCTGCCCTTAGGAAAATAACTATGATACAACAATGCAAAATACTTTTTCGGACCTTAAATATATTTTTAGAGTGGTCTTTTTGCAGGTAATTAAAGTGCCTACTTAAACCATACCTTCATCAGTGAAATACTGACAGAATCCCTGCAATTTCGTAACAAAGCTTCACATTCTGTCAGTGATTTGTTTTCTAGTGCAATACCATTTATCTGTAAAAAGAAAAAACAATTATACATACAAACATACATACATTCGCTTCTCACAGAAGCAAGGGTGAGATCACATTCAGAAATATCAGGGAATGGAACTTGCGCTCTAAAAACTGTGGCTCAGAACAGGAAATTATCCTCCCCCCACCGCCCACCCTACACAGTCTGTTGATTCTCCAATATGCTGTGCCACCAGAAACTAAAATAGGTGCAACAATTAATTCAGGTGACTTACAGTTATGAGCCTGTCTCCCACTGTTAAGGACCCTTCTCTGGCAGCAGGACTGCAAGGAACAACAGTAGCCACGTAGACTCCAGTCTCCAAGCTGATTCCACTGTCTGCAATTGAAGAAAAATATATAATTAGCAAGTATAAACTGAACATTTACAAAACTTTGCTTTATTTACATTCTGGCATGAATATAGCTGCAGTATTGTTATATTAAATACTATAATATAAATTTTAATCCATCAATGCAAGGGAATTTATATTGAGGTAGAATCAGGACTTTATAGCTTATATTCTTGTCCATCCAACCACACTGACTTCCCATGTAAAAGTTGGATGTTTGACAGACAATGTTTCCACATATCAGCAAAAATACTGTTGTGTGCACATGCGAGGCTGCAAGGTCAAAGTAACATTCACGAATCTTGTAGAATTGTGTGCACATTTGCATAATGAACAACAATAAGAATAACACTAATAATCATTGTGTTTGATACAGCTCCTTATCACGTTGTTAAGATTTCTCAAAGCGCTCTGCACGATCAACAGTTGTCATGACTTCGTATTTTGTCAGCGAACAGGATTGCCAATTTGCACACATCCCACAAACGGCCACGAAGTGATTTGGGGAGAATGTTGCTAAGAGATTGTCTAAAAACTCCCATCTCTTTCAAATAGTGCCATAGGATCTTTAACAAGCAGTTTGACACATATTCCAAAGGACAGAATCTCCAACAATGCTGTGCACCCCTAGCATTGTATAAGAGCGTCAACCTAGACTGAGTTCAATGTCCCGAAGCAGAACTTGAACACACAATCTTCTGGCTCAAGGAAAGTGTTATCAACTGAGCCAGAATGAAACCTTATCTAGAAATTGTATTGGATATCTTATACAGATATTTTATTCTGTGAGAGCACCTCAAAGTAAATTACCTTTGTAACCCACGAGATTGATGTGAACTGGAGTAATAGCTCTACCTCCCAAAGATTTGCGCCTTCGGACGACCAAATTAATGACCCCTCCACCATTCAGAACTGCTTTAATCACGTGTTTTCTGTCTTTGTTGGTAAGATCCACATCATTTATTCTGAGCAAACAATCATTCACCCTAAATAAAAACAAACACACAACAATAGAAAGTCACAAAAGACTTTATGAAAATAAAAGTATTTTTTAGATAGTTACCTCGCGGGTGAAAAAAATAGGTTTGTATGACATAACATTCTATAATAGAGATAGATGTTCATACCTTAACCTTCCATCTGCAATACTTCCTTTATCTACTTTAGTGACAAATATGCCACAGTCTCCAGGTAGATAGGGCTCATCGGCCCCTCCTGCCACATCAAATCCTAGTGCCTTCAAATCCATGTCATCCTACAGCAGAAAGAAGTTGCAGTTCATTCTCTATGTTCCTTCAGTTTCATACTTAGATCAGTAATGTTAGATAGAATTTGATTCACAAACCAAACATGCATATAAATTATTTGAGAAAATGTTTAAATATGAAGGTTACATTGGTTAACGTAATGCAGAGCAAACATTTAACAACAAATATTGAAAAACATACTAAATATACATTGGATTATATATAATAATGAGCATGTATTTAAAGCTGTACAGGTAAGATTCAACCCTGTACCAGGTGGGGGGGGGGGGGGGGGGGGGGGTGGGGGAGGACTGTAGCATGAACTCCACCCAAACAGAACAAATTGGTACTAAATTACGAATTTGAGGGGTTGATGTGGAAAACAGATTTAAAACAAATGACACATTGATAGTCAGAGCAGGAGGCCCTTCAGACTGTACTTGCCTGTATCACACATGACCAAAAAATCCAAAGTGAAAAGATTCTATTCCTTAGCATGGACATTCACTCCCTCCCCACCAACCTCATGAGCACAAATATAATTCAAATTGAAATTTCACAATTGTACTCCAAATGATAAATGATTTAGAAGCATACCCTGTCCTTTGCAAATTCAACAACTTCAGTCTCCCATTCAAGAGAATCTGTGTCAATAGCTGAATCATGGGAATTGTGAGCCATAAGTTGCCGAATCCGTGCCTCCTTCTCCAACTGGTTCTCCATCTTCTCCCTATACCAAGATGCGAGAACAAAATCCACACAGAAAATTAATGCAGTAGAACCGCATTATATTGCATATTTGTTTATAGCATAGGAAGTGATCCTCTTAAAAAGGCTCAATATCCTTAGAAGCAACAAGATTATGGGTACAGTGGATAACAAATACAGTTTTTCACATCCCCTCAGCACCAGGAAATTGGACCCCTTGGAAACCAGAGGCTCAAGAATGTGAAGCAGCATTGACCCTAGTGGCAACTTTGTATTCAAGCTCAATGGCTGGACAGGTTCCTTGCCTAAGAGGACCAGGCAGCTGCTGTTTATGCATTCATCTGGTAAGAGTCACTTCTGTCAACAGTTAGACTGTAAATGTGAAACTTTGCTGCCTGCCGCTCCTAAGCTTAATTGCAATCAACGAGAATAAGTGCTAAACAAATCAGACTGGTTAGAGAGAAAGAGACAGAGAGAGAATGAGTAATATTACTTTCCATCTTGTCCACATTCAATATAAAAGTTACTGTTCACAAGCTCAGCTGTGCTTACTCCTTAAACAAACTTCTGTTTGCTCATTTAAGGCTTGCTGACTGTTTGAATCAGAGAATGAAACACTTTGTTTCTAAATGAGAAAAATTCCAAAAGAAATTGCACTGATTTCTGGGCACGTTTACTCGCATCAACTAAGGGCCCTGTTCTGAAGTTGTCACTTTCACCCTCTTCAAATAAAAAGTGTTTGCCAACTCTTTTATCCCATTAAAAAGCCAGGTTCTAGTTTTCTTTAGCTTCTGGACATCAGCTATAGTGCAAACAGCCTAGACTGTGGGAACTTGAACTTAGCAAATACATTTGTTAGAAACACAATGTCACTTCTCATCTTTATAAATTTATTTTGATTAATATATATTTAGCTTTGTTTGAATACATTTTGTGCGCTGTAATTTGGCTTTGCTGATTGCATAATCAATATGGTGATTCTATCTCAATTGAAAACATTTTAATTGAATAAATAAATGTTTTGAAATTGTCATGCACAGCAAACACCTTCATTTGCGTACATCCAAGCGAAGTGTAGTTGCACAATCCTGGTAGTTTCTTTTAGACAAAGGCTCATTTTCATTACTCCACTCTGGCTCTCCTGGAGATGACAGAGGGAGATGCGAGGGGCCATGATCAATTAACCACTTATATTTTAAAGAAATAAAATCATTTATTAACTTTGAAAGATTTAATGGGTTCAGCTTTTTGTTATTCCTACCCGTTGAAGTCTATTCTCAAGATGCGACACTAACTACATAAATTTACAAATTAAATAAATTCATATGTTTCAGAGAGTGCTTATTGCATAGCTTTAAGTGGTGTAACTAGGTCCAAAACACAATGAGCATGCCACATTATCCTGTATCAGAACAGACTGGAATAAAAGCAATAGGATTTAAAAGTAGGAATGTTACGTACTTCAGTTCCTTCAGCTCACGAGTAGCATCATTCTTTTGTTTCAACATGTCGTCCAGATCGCGAAGAGCTTCAGCCAGGTCACTCACTGCCCGGTCCCTTTCCCGACGCAGATTATCACACAGAGTTCTACATGAAAGAAAGGATTAAACATTCTAGGTAAAACAAACGCAAACCAAAAGTGCATAATCTTTCCTGTAACAAACATAACACAGCAGTTGAACTTGAGACAAGTTCCAACACAATATCAGAATTCCTGGTGAGGGGACCATCATGAAGTATGACCAAAACATTCTTACACCAAAGGTCCTAATTTCCCAGATGCAAATAGCTGCTGTCACCAATCACACCAGTGAACTCACTGATATATGCTTATTATAAGAGGATCAGGAGAACATTTTCTGGATGTCCATCACTGGTAAGAAATATTGTTCAAAACATTCCTGCCAATTCAAGGATTTGGAACAAAGTACTCATAACACAACTACGTTAGCATTGCTATACGTTTTCTTTCCTCCTATGCATACTGGAAATTTACTGAAAAATTGAGGCTCAGCTGTGATATTTTTCCCCCTAACCTGGTTAATGGTTAACTCAGTCAACAACAACGCTGTCGAGGCTCACATGCGATGGATGATCCTTTTGGTGATGTACCAGACATTGAGTGACTGATACCCAAAGAACCATACCCATGAGTAATGGTGTGGGGGGTGGAAGGAAGGTAGAGGATTCTTAAAAAACAAAAATGCATTGTTAACCCACAGAGACAAACTGAGGTGCATCTATGCTTACCGTATGCTCTCTCTTTCTGCCACTATCTTATCACGTTCTTGAAACGCCCAGTCTCGCCTTCGTTTTGCGACTTCTGCTTCTTGTATACCCTCCTTCAGCTCCTGGGCCATGGCTTCACATTGCTTCCGAAGCATCTCAATCTCTTTACTTGCTCTTTCCATATCCAGTGTGGCTGAATCTTGTTTCTGTAAATTCAAACACTAAAAAATTTGTGCTGCTTTGAAAATTTCACTGGGATTTGCAATTCTATGCTGTTAAACAGCAATACAATCAACTTCTGAAATCTCATTAAAACAGGCTTAACAGAGTATCACATTTATTCTGTCAGGAGTCTGGTAAAACATCAGATATTCAAGCTTCATAAACATTTTATTTTAAAAAGTTATATTTGATAAAAAGGGCCTTTTCTCCTCATTCACTTGGAGTAAAATACATTTTATGTAGAGTTAATTGTTTTTACTAAATTGTATTTTGTTCAAGAACATGTATTTTGCATTATTCTTAATATGACAAAAACTAAATATTGAACTTCCAAATGTAAACAAAATAATGTGGATACACTACCAAGTAATAGAATAAAATCTTTTTTGTGGCACATTTTAGACAGACACACAGACAGACATTTTGTCTTTATTAGAAAAAAAATATGCCCACAACACTCCACCTTACGATGAGGTATAAATCGTGTCTCCAAGTCAATTGGTTATTGCGATATTGGTAGACAGACACACAGACAGACATTTCAGCTTTATTAGTATAGATGTATCTGTTTAGAAGGGTGTGTGATTTTCTCTGTTGCTACTTTGTTGCAGAATACCAAGCATAGCTATTTTGTTGCAGAATACCACGCATTTTTGTTAAAGCAGTTATTAATATAATTCATCAATGATAGGAGACACCGCCCCAAAAAAATTGGCCATGGACACTCCCTCTCACAAGACCTTTCCAATATAAATCATGCCTCTATGTCAAGGATTCACCTTCATAAATCAATTGATAACTGTCAAACACCCTCAACCACTATTTTAACCAGTAATTATTATCTTTCTTTGGTGATCTATGAATGACAATAAATTGACTGGAGAAGCAATGGATTTGCATTGGTATGAGATATTTTACCCAAAATTAATTCCAGCAAAATTAATTTAAAATTATTACATTTCATGTGTTTCTCAAAATTGGGACATTTGTTTCAAGAAAGTGAAAATTCGCATCTTGAACCATTCCTTAGGTTGATGGTGGCTAATGCAATGGTAAGGAAAAAAGTATGGCACATAGTATAGCGAAGTACAACTTCAGCAGCTCACCTGTCGAGCCTGGTAGTATTCACGTAGCAACTGATCTCTCTGGATGATGGCTTCTGTTCTTTCCTTCCGAGCAACATCTCTCTCTTCCTTCACAGTCTCAATATCCTTGCAAGCCTGATCAAGCTCCTTCTGTGCTTCAGCTTTGTCCTTCACTTCATGGCAGTACTTCTCCAGCAATTCATTCCTTTCACAGATAGCACAGTCACGCTCCATCAGTGCAGAATGAAGCTCCTGTAGATTAGTCAGAGGGCACAAAACACCTTATGACATTACAAGCATGAATTCTTATATGGCTCTCATTTTTAGAAAAATCATTTTCAATAAAGTTTTCAACAAATTTATAATTGTTTTGGACCAAGGTCTTTAACCCAAGTCACAATCGTGTGCAAATTTGCTGCCGGATTAGCTTACAACTATACTTATTGCACATTATAATGTATCTTGTGACACTTTGAGACATTCACGACGTAAACTGCTATTATTACATGCAAGCGTTATTATTCTAAATTGTTATGATCTGTATTATGTTTTACTTCCCATTATGGCCACTTGGTGGCATTGTACCAAAACATAATGCGATTTTAAACGGCGACACGGAGCAGGTAATACAACATAACAAAAGATGCACTGGATTCCATTGACAAAGGTGAAATAAAACCTGGGCTACCTGCACATCAGCCACCTGAATTTGTTGTGCAATGTTGCTTGCCATATTTTGAACCATTGCCAAAAAGACGGGTTGAAAATGAACCAAATATGTCGCGTTTCATGGTAGAATGTCGACATAATAAATCAAGAGTGGCACAAATGGGCACACGTTTGGGTAACCAGAAGTACGACGTGCCAATTCCCACCTACAAAACGAGTTCTAATAAGATTCCAGGAAGAAATCTCATCACGAAATACCACAAATTAAACCCCACAAATACATCAACATCTGCATCAATATTTAGACCAAATGCCAGTGGGTTGCAAACCTCAAATATGTGCTGAAGTATTTCATCTCTCTGAAGTGTAAGACATCAAAGAAACTATCTCCAGTTCAGTGCTTGCTTCAGGTATTGCTCATTGAACAAGGAATTACATGGATGCAACTGTGCTATTGTGATCTCACCTGCCGTAGAGCTTCAAGTTCTTCTCCAGCCACTTTTCTCTCAGAGGAGGTGTTCTTCAGGTGACCCTGGGCTAACTCCAGCTCTGTCTGCAACTTGTCGATCTCCTTGTGTACCTGGTCTCTCTCACTCATGACCAAACGATACTCATTCAACACTGTGTCTCTCTCTTCCTTGTACTTCTCTGCGTCCTTCACTGCTTTCAGCTGTAACGTCTTGTATCGAGTCATCTCAGTCTGTAACCGTTCCATTTCCCTCTGGAGCTCTTTGTTCTGTACCGTTGCCTTGCTTAATTCTTGCTGTATCAAATCATACCTTAAACATTTTGTTAAGAGAGGAATTAGTCTTTAATTTCAGTGCTAATTGTGAGATGTTACTGGTGCAGATTAGCTGCGATGTTCATTTCTTTAACAACACAGAGACTTTGATGCAAAAACTATACATAATAAGTGTTATTTATTACAAAAGTCATTATACTTTACAGTATATTCCATGAAGCACTTTGAGACATCTCGAAGATATAACAAGGCGTTATATATCAAATGCAAAGAATATTAAAACAATGGCAGACAGAATTTTTTCATATAAAAAGCATATCTCATAGCAGAGTCAAATCTCAAACTTTTATTTAATGCTAGGATCAATGTGAGGTCATCTCTGTAGACAAGAGGTTTTCACAATGAGCATTTACTGTGCATCTGTGGCTGTGCTACAAACAGTTAAAAACATTTATTATTATTAATAAATTTGAAATCCTGTCTCTCCAAGCCACGCCCCAAATTTCAGTGGGGAAAGTAAGAACACAGCATGGCTAACCCTCTTATGTTCCCTCCTCCAAATCTTAATCAAATCAAATAATTAGCTGCTTTATTGTATTTCATCAATTCAAAAGATCAGCATTTCATCAACTGTAACTTTTCTATAATCAAAATAGTCCCTCACCTCTTCAATGTGGATAAATATTGTTGCTGTACAGATGTTTTCTCTACAACAGCAACATCTGTCTGTTTCATCAGCATTTCATTCTGTTTCTGGGAGCGCCGATTCTCTTCCTCTAACCGCTCCAGACGACTGAGGTCAGTGTTATGATTGGCAATTTTCTCATTGTACCGTTTCCTTAGTGCATCATAATCTTTTTTTAAGCCTTCTAACTTGTCCATAGCAGTATCGTATAATTTATTTAGAATCTCTGATGAACCGTTCTCTTTCATAACCTGCAAATAAACAGAAAGGATTAAATGCATTTTCAAATTTCAGACTTCTGCATTTACTTCAATTAGTTTAATCCATTTGGCTTTCATTTTACCAATGTGTGAGATTCCTCCAAAACATTGCTGCATAGTGCACTAATAGTTTTTATTATGACGAATGATAGCCTCATCTTAATGTTTATTTCCCATTCAGTTGTCGGCTTATCCTTCTTGTTGGGAGGGGGTACTTACTGTACTTTTATGCAGGATAGTATTCTTTGCCTGAACATATAAATTTCTCAGGCTTTTTTCATACAGGCAAACTGCCCTACAAAGGACAAAGTAACATGACATAAAACAAATAATTTACTTTTCTTCTTATTTGTCTCCTCTTTTGGGTGGGGAAATTTCACATGAAGAACTAAAAGTGGCTTACAAATTTGGTGCATAGTACAGAAAAGTTTAGTTCTCCATTTTCCCCTTTCCAGCTCTTTTAATAAACAAAACAGTGATCAGAATACACCAGACATTGAGAAACAAGGAAGCCAATCAGATTGCAGGATACCTCTATTTCAATGCCAGCTACAATGTAATATTAAACAACTAATAAGATCAACTAATTGTTTCATTGTAACCATTGAAAGCTCCTACCACATTACCACTTGAGTAGAAACTCAGTCTATTGCTACTTAAGTTAATCAAACAGAGTTAAGTTATTCTTTAATAAATATTACATTTTATCTGTGGGCCATCACTGCATAAATGGAATACGAAGGAATTTTTAAAAAGAGCACACGGAAATTGGGTCGAGCCTCGTTATAATGTGGTGCTCTAAATCCATAAAATCTAAACCTTTCCTATAACTACAACAGCAATTTGCATTTATATAGTGTCCTTCATGCAGGTTAGAGCCTCAGAGTGATGGAGGCTGCGATACATCCTTACAACTTGGTTACTACATGACGGCCAGTTACTGCACTGAAAGGCAAAACTGATTTTCAGTTCATTAGGTCTTGGCATCTGAGTGTTGCACATGTGTAGGCCACCCGCATGTGGTGTGAATGAGGACCACAACCTAATAGCTCTCCAACCAATTTAGTACCATTATCAAAACATCTTATAACAAGGCAACACTGTAAAAGGGATATTTTAATTTACACTATGCCAACAACCAAATTTGGCACAAAACTTCACAATGCTAAAAATGATCAATAATTGCAGTCATACCCATTTACACTCTACTCTGGTATTGCTGAACAATTAACAATTAATTCTAATGGGGATTATGTGGCATACAACAGACTGTAATACAATCCTTTCACCTTGGAAAACAAACACATGCAAGAAAATAATGCAGTAACGAGAAAAGGCTTTTCACTCCATACAACTCAACCTGCTGTTTGGATTGGAACCTGGTTCAAATCTAGTTTAGTCAGATAGGATGTCAGTCTCATCTCTCTAACGTTTACAAAAAGCTCTACGCAAAGCAGCCTCAAATGACTCCATGTCCACAGCGTAAGACTGCCCTCAATTTCATACTAATAATCACTAGACTGAACCATCAATCAGAAATACTATAAAGATGTCTGCTTTGGAAAAGGGAAATGAACAGCTGATGTGCAAGTGTCAAATTGCAGTCTGCAGGACAAATCAGCTATTAAAGGCATCAATTTGATTTGGAGCCTCACTCCTGAAACCAACTCTTGAGCTGATTTGACCCACCTTCCTGCCATATAAATTCAGTTTAGAATGCAGTGAATGTTTAATGAAAGTATAAGTAAAAAGCTTCTTGAATTAAAAAAAAACAAACTGCTTATTACTTCGCTTGAACTTTCCATTTTTAAATCGAAAATAAAATCCATCAGAAAAAATTGACATCTCATAAATCACTCAAAAGTTCATAGGCTGACAGCACATTTGATATACAGTATTTATAAATTAGCCCAAGTGGTAAGTGCTGCTTTCTTTAATTGAAGTATTGTGCTAAGATCATAAAAGATAAAGGTCAACTGTGGCTTTGAAGTTTGTCTTTTAAAAAAAGGGAAAAAACTCACCATAGGCATTTAATTTGAAGAATTAAATGGTATATTAAAAATGAAACATTTAAAAATTCTCACTGTGTTTGCAGATCACTGCAGCATTTCCAAGGCTAGGTGATTAAACATACTATATCTTTACTTAATCTCAGCTACTGCCAACATTCAGTAATTCAATGAGAGCAAAATGTACCATGTGAGGTTAAAATGAGAGCTAAGTGACTGTGGTGTAGGAAATATAGCAAGGATAACAAATGAAAACACCATTATGTAAAAAAGTAGATAATTAAAGGAGTAGCAACAGATCTTTCCTTAAATCCCAACAGTCATGAAGTTCCAGAAGCCAAAACCTGCAGTTTTTCAACACAGGCACTAGGTGGTGCTTTTCTCAAAAGTAATAAGAGCATCTCATCGGAAGATCACAAAAGAGGAATGGGTGAGGATCTTCAGCGCCTTGGGACATCCTCCCGACGTGAAAGGCGCTCTATAAATGGAATCTTGTTGTTGTTGTTCAGCTGCACCCACTCAATCTCATCCTTCACAAGAATAGAAGTTTATATGAAGAAGGCTATTCAGCCCATTTGATCTCATCCGTCCAGAAAATCTACCTTACCATCCTTCTTTTAAAAATGTCTAGTGTCCAGTCCTCAACCACCCTATTATTATAATTCGGCCATTCAATCCACGACTGTTTGTGGATACAGCTGTGCGCAATTGGCTGCTACGTATCGCCCCCAAAATATACAGTCAATTCACTTTACAGGATATTCTGTGAAGCGCCTTGAGATGTGTCGAAGATGTGATAAGGTGCGCTATCAAATGCAAGGATTATTATTATCTCTTTTCAAGATTGAAGAGCCCTAGTTTGTAAAATTACTGCTCATAGGTTGTTCCTCAAATACTGGGAAACATCCTCCTTGCTCTCCTCTGCACTGGCATGTTGGCCTGGACAGCACCTTTGTGCCTTTCCTTGTTTTTCCTTCACCCGGAGGCTTGTGATGAAACCATAAGCAGTTCTGGTCTGACATAAGAGCAATATTGCAACCAAACTTCACTGAACTCCCAAGAAACAGTTCAATGTTGTACATCTAAGTAAAGAATTCTACTAATACAGCTCTTTGTTACATTACACTAAACTTAAGCTAATTACTTCTCTGAATAAGCATCCTGATGTAACCATAAAAACGGAAATACAAATGTACTGAACCTCTATTATCTCATGCACATGGAGGAATCACATGCCACATGATCAAAGTCTTTAGATTACCAATGCAAACCATACATCAACATCAGCTGTGTAAGCCCAAGTGCATATGGCCTGTATGGAGCAAATTCATTTCCAAAGCTCTATTGTATATTTTGACTGATTTTGTAAGTTATTTCTAAAAAAGTAACATGGCGGCTTTATTTTCTGGATGTCCAGGGGGGGGAAGAGGGAGAGGATGATAGTTATGGGCTTGTTCGACAGGTGATGAACGGTGTGAGTTAACTTAGCACTTACAGTTCACTGTTAAAAAGGGCGATCTGCTGCTGTGAATGTTCTGAAGAGGTAGAAAAAGCAGTTTGCTTTTTTAAATTGCAACAACTACATTCAAGAAGCAGTTAAGTCAAAGATTAAATGACCAGTAGTATTTGTTAAGCTATACGTGGAGCAATAGTTTAAAATGCTACAAGCATTAAGGGTATGCGTGTAAGTATGTCATAATGCTTTCCACTGTTTTAGGAATAGCCAATGGTAAATAAATCATTAAGCTTAACCCATATGTACGCAACAAGCATTGTGCTTTATATATGCACAATAGCTGATTCCACATCAGCGTTTTCCTTGTGCATGATGTATGACTTACTTTTTATACTTATTTTTGATAGGTTTAAGTGGGTTTCATTAGTGTATAAAATCCAACTGACGGAAATGCACAAAGTGTCCGCAAAACATAAATAGTCCAGTAGCTTCAGAAACTCCAAATGTGAAGGGCAAACCCAAGGAGCACAAAGCTCCACTTGTGCAGTTTACAGTGACCTTTGAGCCCCAAGCCTGCCAAGTGGTTACTTTGTTTGCATAAACTTCACTTTTGAATGTTAAAGCTTTAACTCAAAGTTCAAAAATTGTTTTCACAGTCACACGAAAGCAGTTCCACTTATACCTTTACTTACTTTAATGTACAGTAGTCGGTTTGACAAACAGCTCTTTTCATGAACCAAATGAACCATGGGCTTAACATTTCCAAGAACCTTTGCTACATCGCTGCTTCAGCTCTTTCTTTCCAAACCATGAACTTTTCTACATAAAAATATCTCCCCCTTGGAGATGTGTCAGCCAAACATTTATATATAGTTCCAAAATGTTCACTCCATTCATCCTGCAAGAGCTTTCCTTTTCTAATCTGAACTTAAAATGCATTCATCAAACAAGTACCATTGTCCTACATGAATAGAAGCTGTGAACCTGAATAAGCAGGCTTTATTCAATCATTCCCTTGGCCTTTAAGTGTCTCAGTCTTGTAGGAAAAATGTCATCTATTACAGCTCTTCTTAGAAAAAAGATCAGCCTGATGCATCAGCATGGCTTTTTTTGGGTGTGGGGGTGGTGGGGAAGAGAAGAGAAAAATAAGCACCATTATCAGTTTATCTTAAAGACACCATTCTTTAAAAATATTTATAGTTTTCAAAAACATCAAAGGAAGGAAATTATTTGTTTCAAATTGTACACTGCAATATTAGCATTCTATTTGCAATGGTGAAAAAATAATCAGATTGTTTTCAAAGAGCAAAGAGCACTACAAAACACGTTAGTTAAAATATTTATCGTTTTTATAACCATTTTAAACTGAGTTCAGGCAATTTATTGGTGTATTGATTTTAACAAGAATGTGCATTTGTAGTGAAAGCTACACTTACAAAATGATCCTCTATTTCAAATTTAGAATATACCTTACAAGCATTTTCAAATACTGTATGTCTGTCACTCACTGGAGATACCTGAAAATGAGCTGACTGAAGACACACTGCAAATACAGTGGCAAAACTACAAGGGTGTCAATTTTTGCACAGAGTTAATGTTCATGTATTAATGTAACATTATATTAACTCTAGACAAATTAAGATACTGTTCAGAATGAATTTGGTCTTTTTTTTGACACACCACAACACAACTGTTATTGTAACCAACTCTAGACAGACTGGTGGTGCTGTTAACAGTGTGATGCTTTCATAGAATAACAAGGCAACAAAATCACATTGAGATTCCCACACAGCAAGATCCCAAATATAGCCAGGATGTCATGGAGATGCACTCAGTGGAACCAGGAAGAGGAGGGGGGTGGGAAGAGTGGGCCGGTCGCTGCTCTTCTCTCTCCTCCCTCCCTCCACGAGACTCACACACCTCCAGATGATTATTTGCAAAGTTATATGAAAGACCTGGGAGCAGGTTGGTGCTCTTGGCTAGAGAACATGCAGCACTAAAAAGAGGGAAGAAATGGCACTGGAAATGTGTTTTAGATTTTTTTAAAAAATCATGTCCTGTTTAATCTTCAAGGCTGTTCTCTCTTACAAATTTGCAGCTTCATGTAGATATGGTCAAAGTTTTATTGTTTCAGTTTAATTAATCATTTAAACTGAAAAAGTACAGTTGGCAGGCTCAGCTAAATAACAGAATAGCAATTTAAAATTTATGTGCTATGCATTGTAGAATGAGCTTCCCTGAAACGTAACAGAATCTATACTGAACAATAACCCATTTGTCAACATTCACAAAAATGATGTACTGAATTATTCAATTCCTTTCACAAACAGTAAGTTTCAAATCATCCCCAGAATGGCTTGGCAACGACTGACCGATATGTGCTGCCATCAAAACTGAAATTTATCAGGTTATACAAATAATATTGAGCCTTGCACCTTTTTATGAGTGGGTAATTGCTTCAAACCAATAGCTCCTTTAAGTAATGTTGCAAAAGTTCAATATATTCTCATCATTATGATACTTTCATAGAATAATGACATTATTGTTTACCTTACCCCAAACTTTTAATTATATAATTACTGGTTATAAACTTTTAATCTTCCAGATTTTTTTGAAAGAAGAGTTAAATGTTTAAAAAGCAGCAACATTTTTTAAAGAATCAACTATAGCGGTTTCACCCAATGGCAAGATAAAGAAAAGTGAAGGTTTAAACAAATAACTAAACAGTAAATCTTGAACAAGTTCCATTCGGGCAGCATGACCTACAAATTATTTTGATGCTGAAGGAACAGTAGCTCTTTTCTTTGGCATAATAGTTGTATGATTGGACCAATTATTTTATCTTCTTGCTTCCGAGTGTTTTAGTCAACAAATTAGATTCTGATTGTCTGTAATGACACAGCTACATTTAATGTTACTCTGTAATTACTGAAGGAAGACATCTTTTGGGGAAGGTTAGTTACAGTGATTGTTTTCTCCTTTCAATGGCAGACCACAAGACATTCCTTATCACCAAGCATAATAATCCAGAGATAAGTTACATTCTGAGGTCAGTAAAAACTGTGATTTAAACATTGATTCCAAGATCAAATCCAGTCCTCTATCAATCCATCTATCAGTTCTTCAATTCAAACCCACCATTGATATTTATCTATGCAGTTTAATTTGGATTATATTATTGATCCAAACTTCGTTCATTTCAAAGCATATTGTCCCCATTTCCTTCATTATTTAACCACAAATCTTGATCCTGGGCAACAATCCTCTAAAATAAAATTGGTCACCCATTCCATGGCTGTTTTGTGGGACATTGCTGTGCGCAACCACCTGACGCATTTCATCTAGGCTGTACTGTAAACTCTAATCCACTTTACAGTATATCATGTGAAGCGTTTTGACACGTCTCAACGATGTTATAAGGCACTATATCATATATAAAGATTATTATAGATCACAACATGGATCAAGAAGCTGAGAAGGAAATTGCAATGTCAAGGAACATTGAACCCTATTTTATTAATGAACATTATTACAGCACTGATTGGTCCAACACAAGTGGTCAAATTATCAGGTCAGCAGGAAGGACAGAATTGACAGTGAGCCATCAAGCCGCCACTCAATGACATTTCCTGGGGAATACCTTCAGGCTGCAGATGGGGGAAAAAATCAATTGCTGCCCTCTGTTCATCTACTCACAGTGAAAAGCTAGTAATTACACAGCAACATTTGAATTGTTTAGAAAATCAATAAATGAAAATGAATAAGAAATAAATAAGTGCTCTAAAAAAAACATTAAATAAAGAGTAGAAAACCGCAGCACAGGCAGTGTGTTGAGACTGCAGAATGTGAGAAACTGTGGACAGTCCCAGATGATCATATCTGTGGGAAATGACTATGGGTAGACGAATTGTCTGAAATGTGAATATGGCTTCTCCCGAAATTATAGAGATTCTAGTTTCAGCAGCAGCAACTTAAGATATATTACATAGAATTACATAAAATATACAGCACAGAAACAGGCCATTCGGCCCAACTAGTCTTTGGCAGTGTTTATGCTCCACGTGAGCCTCCTCTTGCCCTCCCTCAACTAAGCCTATCAGCTCATACTAATCCTTTTGTTGAAATCCATCAAAAAATACCATCTCCAAGGATGGAGGATCCCATTATGATGGTCAATTAGACATTGTCTTTATGTTAAAAAATCTCATTGAAATAAGTACAATAATAGTACATATTTCCCATAAAAACATTTGGATTATGGGACAATTTAGCAAAACATACTTTACACAGTCAATGCGGAGTCCATTGTTGCTTTCAAGAGGGAATTAGACAGGCATATGAAAGAGAGAGACTTGAAGGGGTATGGGGATAAAGCGAGGCAGGCAAGCAGTAGGATTAAATTGATCTCTTTGCTCTGCGAGTCTGTGCAGATTCAATGGGTCGAATGGCCTCCTTCTGCTTACTATGTTTCATCCTTTTTCTTATATTTCTACCCTTAAACTACAGTTATTTGTAATCGAAGTTTTTGTATGATTATGTGCGTAACACCTACTTGTTGCTGTTGACACCGCAGTTCAGTTATCTCCTTCTGATCCTCCTCATGAAGCCGCTTTAGCTCCTCACAGGTCTGTTGAACATGGTTATGGTCCCTTAGCAACTGGGTGTTCTCTCTCCTGATGGCTTCCATTTCCTCCTTCAGCTGAGACTGGTCATTTCGGAGGTGGCTGTGCAATGTGCTGGAATAACAAAAAAAAGTCAGTGATCTAGGAGCAAAAATAAATTCTCATCCTTGTCACACTGACAATGTGCTGAAGAAGGGCATAATGCTGATTTCTATGTCTAAATACCTATTTGTAAATATTTGGTCAAATCTCTCCAACAACTAATTTAATATGAATCCATGGTTTTCTTGGGCTCTTTTACAACTGTGGATATGGGGGTTAGGGCCTAGAGAGAGATCAGGCAGAGCGAGTCTGAGGGAAGGAAGCTGGTACTTATTTGCTGCCTAGATATATTACATATTCCCCAGGTATCTGACCTGCGTTTTCTGTGGGGGAGGGGAAAATGAAGAGAAAATTGTACCTATATACCAAGAGGGACAAGCCTTTTTGACCCATGCTCATTGTACACAAGTGCATCTGCCTGGCCATACGTTTATTTACACTTATCTGTCAAAGGTAAAACATTTGGAATTTTAAAGGAATGAGGTAGATAGTACTGACCGATTCTGGACTGGCCCTTATGGAGGATGATGTCTGTGAGACATCTGCAAGAGTTTTTTTTCTCCAGTCTGTCCACCCGCCACCCCACAATACAGGCTTTGTCTTTTGCGTCATGCAAGAGTGCATAAGTGAGGGAAGAAATGGTGTTTGCTTTCCAATCAGCAAGATGAAGCAGCTGCCCCACCAGACCAGGTTCATAACCGTATTGGATAAAGGGAGGGAGAGAAGAGAACTTGTTCCTACTCTTGGAATTTGGCTCTCATCACTACATCGAGGCATTTAATTCCAGTTTCGCCCTGGCGAAGGGTGAAGCCTCTATTATCTATTTCAGGAAATCTTGAGTCACTGCTTCCATTTTTGAGTAACAATAATAATATAATGATAATCCTTGCATTTGATATAGCACCTTATATCGCTGAGATGTCTCAAAGAGCTTCACAGGACACACTGCTCCTTGTATAAAAATGAACAGGGTTAAAATCACTTTTCTGCTCCCATCCAAACTGAAATTGGTTAACTGAAATCAAACACCTATTTTGTTGGCTGAACATTCAGGCCATACAGTTAAACTGTAAGGACAGAAACATTATCAGATAGAGTTTCAAGACTGATCTCTTCCCTGTAATTCAATCACCCAAATTCTGACAAAGACATAACAAAGTTCCAGTGCATTGAGTAATTAAATTATGATATTTAATTCTCTTCACAGCTTCTGCTATTTATACATTGTGCTGTTATATTTTAAATACACAATCACAAATATATACAAAAATAATGAAGACTATTTAAAAATACTTCTCCATAAGATACTCAGCTTCTGCAACTTCAGTACCTATAGTTTAATTTATATTCTTTAACTTGGAACCTCAAAAAAAATAGTCATGAGGAAAAGGTAAATGCAACGAAATAAACAAACACCTGCACAAACTTATATGACACCATTCAGAGTCAGTAAATCAAATGATACGCCCATCTTGAAAGCAGTGGTCAACTGATTTCAAACTAACTCAGGTGAAGAGCGTATCCTAGCCAACGATCCCCCAGATACAGTTTGTCTTTCCGTTACATCTTGGCAGTTTGTGAGACACCGCTATGCATCAGTTGGCTGCTGCGTTCACTTAAACACACATTAACTACACTTCAAAGGAAATTCTGTGAAACAATTTGAGATGCTTCAACAATGTGTAAAGCTCTACATCAAATGCAGGATATGAATATGAATTGTGGGCAACACCTCTCATCTGAACTTAAAAGATCAATTGAAACCCAGTTGGAAGCCAAAGAGAAGTAAAGGCAATAAAAAATGAAAATACCTTGGAATGTTCAAACAATAAAAACAGGGACACCAATTCAGGTTACCTGCAAGTAGTTATATTGTTTATATGGGGATACACTCAAAAGGGTATTGCTTTATATTATACATGCAGAAGATCAGAAATATTTATTTTTAGTGAATCCCACTTTCATTGTCCTCTGCAACGGAACTGTAAAATACTGACCAAATTACGGAATGAATAATCAAACAATTTCATAAGATGAGACAGGATGATAAGGTTTAAATATAAATGCCTACTCTCATGGGTAATCAGACAAATGACACATAGGTGTAGTATGGACATCGTCATCAGTTTAAAAGATGATTACATACTTTTTGCTCTTCACGTTAACACTCTAATCACTGTACTTACTGATACAAATCTGCCTCTTTGACTGCCTCTTCACACTTCTTCAGCGTTTTTGTATGCTGATTCTGCAGAGACTGCAGATCCGACATGGCCTTCATGCACTGCATCTTCAATCTCTCATAGTCATGACTTGGTTTTGGACTGGGCCTGTCAAAACATAGACAGTGGGAATGAGCAACTGCAAAATCAAGGTGTCACTGCAGACAAAGCTACAGATATTCAGGAAATGGGATCTGTGGACATTGAATGTTGCATGAAACAATTGCAGCTGCTTCAGTATGCATCAGAGATGTCTCAACTAGACAGAAGTACTGTACATCTGGTACATCAGCAGCAGAGAATAAAGCTATTGGACTGGCATTGCTGTTGTATTAAAAGGAATAAGTTTTAATTAGACATTTAATTACACAGGAAATTTTACCTTAATAAATCAATGCTACATGCTAAAGATGACTGCATTAACCTGTGTAATTTAATCTTTGATCCTCTGGATCATTCAGTGGTTCAAACATGGTTCCAAGATCCTTACCTGCAGTCGTCAAAAGTAGACCCAGGAGAAGAAAGTGCAAGTTGTTTGCGAAGCTCATCCCTCTCGCGAGTGACCTGTCTGAGTTGAAACACAATGGCTTCCAACTTTTCACTCATCTGCCTGGTGTCCATGAGTATTGGTGGAGGAGAAACAGTTTTACCAGATGTGCTGGTACCTGAGCAAAAAAAAAACAGACCACTCATCATCTCCAGGCTGTAACTCAACTTTTAAAGCAAACAATCTGTTGATACAGCATCTCATAATCATACACTACATCTAACAATATCCAATCTGCTACATTTCATAGCATTGGTTAATAAATGTTTTGCAAATAACTAGAGATATACTCAACTAGAAATATACTCAACTAGAAAGCTCAAGATGAAAATTTTGTCTTCTAAGGAGTAAAGGCTCCAAAATTAAATAACACATTGAAGTGTATTGATTGGTAAATGATTATTAAATGCATTTTGTGGTTGCCTGGAATTCAGGGCTTTTAAGCTAATTGCTAAAATATTTTTTCTATACATAGCTGTTGTTTTAAAGCTAATGCTGAAAATGTTTTTTAAAAAAATGATGATTTTTAAAATATAATAATTAGAACATACTTTCCCATTTATTACCTTTCATTTTGGAAAGCAATATTCCCTTTAAACATCAACTAGTTCTTGCTCTCATCAAAAATAGATGCATTCTGCAGTTTTTCACAAGAAGATCACATTGAAGATTAATAGCCTATACAACTATAAAGCATAGTATTAACCCCGACCCCACATTTTTTTCCCTCTATCTATAGCCAATCAAATCGGTGAACCTTCCCCATCTCCTCAGCTTCTCCCTACGAGTCTGTTTAAATGAATTCTGATACGTTTCAATTATCATCTTACTTCCTCACTCACCTGATTTCAATACAATACACATTTAGATAGCACCTTTCATGTCAGGACGATGTCTCAAAGTGCTTGATACTGCTGGCTGGGCACCCAAGCTGGAAATGGGAGCCAAGGGGTTGTAGAATGGAAAGAGAACCGACATTGCGGTGAAAGAGGTATACATTTTGAGACAAACCTTGAACGAGCTGAGGAAGAGAGCAAGTCGAAAGGACTCTGGGGTGAGTTCCAGAGAACCGGGGCAGATTGGTCAAAATCACACCCGCCGGTTGTGGAACAGATAAAGCTGATAGATTCAAGTGTAACTATAGAACCATGCATGTAAGACTTCTTTAGAGTGCAGACCTTCACAGGTATTATCTTTTGTCACTTTTGTTGGAGAAGAGTACAGACAGTTCTATAGATGCAAATGAATGAGAACTCACCAATGCTGCTGAGAGAGCTACTGCTTTCAGAGTCTGAGGGCATTGTTGAAAGCACGCTGTATGTAGATCCTAAAAAAAATATAAAAAAATATAAAAGGAGTCAAGAATACACCGTGATTCATCCCCTATCCAATGTTACACCAGTATAACTAATGGTTTTCGAGAAACATGGCACAAATGCAGTTTGAAATTACATAAAATGTTGGGGCAAATTCAATTCTTCCATACTATCCTCTTCAAAATGCTTACACCAACAAAAACAGTAGTCACCTACTTCATATGTTCTGTTTATATTAGAAGTGCATTCATTGTGTATCTCAATAAACAGTTTATTGTCCAAGCAACATACTTCCACAAAACAAGACAGCCTACAGTTAGTTCATTAGAGCATCAATGAATTGCAGATTAGTCTTGTGGGAGTATCACAGTTGGATTGAACAAATGCTGCTTAAAGAATCAATTTTGCAGAATACTTTGCAGAACTACTGGCCTTCAGTTTTCAGATAGCAGCACAATCATTGCTTCACAACATAAAGTAATCTACAGGTTCTATACTGAAACAAATATTTTAAAATCTGGAATTCAATAGAACACCAGTACAAAAAAAATTCACAGTACAAGTAACACTACCCAGTTGTTAAAATTTTACCACTACCGGTGAACCGCCCAAATCTAAAATTAAACCAATTTACTGTACTATGGCACCTAATTATGGGTGAGGGAACATAATGCACCTGTATTCTATCCTGAAACAGTCACTTTCTCCACTGGAATTGTATTGAAGTATATAAATTAATGATTTTTAAAGAATAAGAACTAACTTTGAATAGACTGGAGCAGAGTCTAGAATCACATATGATACAATATTGCTCTAGTGCTGGGAGCAAGGGTATTTCATTTTAGCTGCATAAACATTGCATTACATCTGCAGTACCTTTTTAATGTACTACCATGCAGGTCACTCACTCACTGGGATGAGGTTTGCAGGACATGGGGAGGTGGATGACTTATGCCTTACTCTACCATGGGAAAGGTTATATTTGGAAAGTAAAAGTATTTCCTGAATGGCCTCACTGGTGAGTTTGCTTTAATATATGATATAATGTTATAATGATAGGACTCCAAAAAACTGACCATGTTGACATATTGACCACATTAGCGGACGCGATAAGATCATACTATTAATAGACTTCATTGATAAAATTTGCCTGGATCAAATCTTAAAATAATTCACAATCTCCCCACTTGCACAATATTAAAATTGCAGTTGTAGGTCCTTTGAAGGACATCATGAACGACACAAGGGACTATCCACATTGTGGCAAGTAACCATGGTGAAATGTGGCAAAGTGATAGTGGATTGATCCGTCTTAATGTCAACATCCTCTACGTGGGCAATGCTGGTCGCCTCAGGACACCTGCAGACGTGCTCCAGCACAGAGCCAGCATTCTATGGGAAACAGCAGTTATGACATGCTCATTGCTGCATCCTCAGAAAGGGCATTACCTATGTCAGGTGTACCAACTTCAACAAATTGGGCAGTAACCTCTGGTCAGACTTGAATTTTAACACATATTTTTCACCATTTAAAATCCTGCAATGATACTTTAAAAGATGGATATAAAGGTATTTTCCTGAGAAGCTGTACATCACTCACGCAATTGCTTTAAAATCATGTTTTACAGCTACGCAGTCCTCAGCTTCGGGATCATGACAGCTGTAAATCAACATTAGCCCAGCTCGGGATTGCAATCCTGGCACTTTTTCTGAATACTGCGATTTGTGAGTTTAATGCCCTAAATCCATGGATCCTGACGTGCTAAATCTTGCCTCAGAAAATTGTCAGGCATCTTGGCCAAGAGCATGGGCACTTTGCAGCAACCTCTCCACAAACCAGTCACCGACTCACCTCCCTCGCCGCCTGCCTCAGCAACACAGCGGCATGACATCAAGGGACGAACCGAGGCACCCAGCAGCTGGTGGGCAGCGCGAAGGTTAGTGATGAGCAGATTTATTGACAAGAAGAAAGTGGCACATAAAGAGTGACAGAAAAAACATCAGTGTCACATACAGATACAGAGAGAGAATGAGAGATACACACACTATTTAAATATTACTATTATATAATGCACAGAGAGAGAGGGAGAAAGGGGTACATAACACAGGACTGATAGAGTCAGAGGCACAAAGGGAGGAGAAGCGAGACATACATATTAAGACAAAAAGATAGACTTCCGTGACCTACTGAAACTCAACAAGGGTCATATAGAGGAAGAGGGAGAAAGAATGTCAAATTCAGAGTGAGAGAAGGAGACAATAACATAGAGGACAGAGACTGACAGAAAGCGAGAAATGAAACACTGACAGTGAAAAATAGATGAACAGTAACAGAAATGAATTACTGAGAGGTTTGTGAGTGTGTCTGTGTGAGGGGGCAGACAAATTAGAGAGAAGAAAAACAACGCAGCAAGAGACAGAAAAGCACCTTTGCTGCTTTTTTAAAAAAATATTGTATTTTCTTAATACAATCCTGAAATCCTGGGATTTCAGGAGAACCATTATCATATGGGATCCCAGGATTGGGATTCCAACCCCTAATCCCAGCGTACTATCAAAAAGTACTGTTATAATAATAATAATAATCCTTGCATTTAATATAGCGCTTTTCATGTCGGAAGGACGTCCCAAAGCGCTTAAACTGTTAACTGTACTTTCAACTACCTCAATAACTCCCCCTACAGGTATACAAGCTTATATAATTTTACACAAATTTAATTTACACAATATTAAATAAGGATATTTTCAACTTGAAATAAATGAATCCATTTTAGCTATCTTTCATATTTCATTTTACAATCTCAATTTTGACAGATATCTATATCTAAATGTTTATAAAAATAGATACACATCAAACAGAAAGTGACATCAACATTAAAATCAACTAGAGAATGAGATGGAGGTTTAGCAAACTGGCTAAAATGATCAACAAGCCCCTAAATCTTTCTCCAATATCAGTGCAAAATCTCATCTCTCTGAGCAGCATAGACAAGCTGACCAGGAAAAATGAACAGCTTAACATATCTGCAGGTATTAGAATTTTGCCAATCAAAATTTACAGTTTTCTGTTTTTTAAACAAGTTTTTTGTGAACAAACACATTTTTTTAAAAAACAAAATTGCCGTGCCCTCCAGAAAGTAGTGAATCCAATTGGTGACAGCCGACTCAACTTCTCCTCAATCATAAGCTGCGTTTACCGAGGTGACAGCTTGACAAACACTTCACTTTACTGTACGTCGATCTCTAGGCCCTGAATTAGATGAGCTGGCAATGATCCAACTTGCTGTGGGGGACCAATGTACTCGATTGAAATGGGAACAGACACAGCTTACAAAAGCCCTTTTGCATTTCACCAGTGAAAACAATGAGCCTGAACACTGGCAGTATTACGTGGATTCGCCACACTTTGCCTCAGTGGTTGTTCTTTCCCATGGATCTATGTGGCCAGTAGCTGTCAGAAAGGGCAGAGTACACAGTCAAACAATTATTTCTTCCAGTAAGCCACGTGACTGAGCAGGAACAATCCCTACAAGGTTAAAGCCGTCATACACTGGAATACTTTTTATGTGGAGCACTATTTCAGCAATATAATTGTTTGCATTCGTCACAAAGACATAGGGTTTGATCATATTTTACTCCTACTTGTCTATTAGGAAACTAGCATTTCAACAAAGGGAATGTGATGGGGAAGGTGGGGGAGGAGGAGGAACAACTCGTCACTGAGAGCTCCTGGCAACTTCACTTGACAGCCAGAAGCTGAGCCCTCACTATGTACACAATTACAACAGATTAGACAATGAAGAGTTTATTACAGTATATGGGGATACATGGAGATAAAAGCCAATGGTAAGATACAAAATGCAAGTAAATGTATTCATAGATTCTTACTGTGGATGAAGGGTCAATTGCAAAGGTGGAAGTGAGAGCTATGTGCAAGGAAAAAAAATAATGTGCAGGACTTCCTGAATTAATGTTCAACTATAAAAATTGCAATAAAAAGAATCAATTCTGGAGGGAAGTAGATCAATACAAAAAAGGATTTCAAAAAGCAATGCAACACTTGATTAAAAAAAATTGATACTCAAGGCAAATAGCACATTTCCAGTGGAGTGAAAATACAGAAGGATTCTAATAGCAAATGTGCACAGGTTTTCTCCGAGCTGACACTTATTCTTTCTTTCTCTCTGTAAACAGTAACAAATCAATCAGCTCTGTAACAGATCTCAGGTCTGAATAAGCAGCTGAGTGCAGGCAATTCCGCAGCACACATCATTGTCAGTGCTGCAGCAAGTGAGGCCTTTTGAACATAGGCCAATGCTAACACAGAATCAGAATTACTATTTGCAATTGCAAAAAAGGCCAGTGGTGTGATGTTGGTACTCAGAGTTCCAGATAGGTTTGGTAATAGTTTAGTGGAAAAACAGGGAAACTGACAACCATATGTACTGTGTGTTAATGCCAATATGGAGGTCATTAACAAGGATTTCTTTATCATCTAGTTCACTCTTCAGATCCAACTGCATACATTGAACTGTGCAGTTCTGAAAAGTGCAGGTAAACTTACTTAAGTTATACATTGTATAAAGGCTAAAGTTATACATGCACCATTTGTTTTCCTATCAGAAAACACTTAAGATTTCTTTGCACTAGTAGTATTTTAGGCCAGATAAATGGCTAAGTCATAATGATTTCTTGGTCCCAAATAATACTATGCAAATCATCTTCTAACTCGTATTGCCGCAAGAGCACTTACTGGATGCATTAATGAAGTACTTAGTGCTGCATTTGAAACAACCGCAGGAAACTAGGTCTTGATCTGGCATCATATCACAAAAGACGAGCTTAACTTCACGTAAGTCAGGGTGGTCCAACCTTTTGGCTGCTGAGTGCCGGATTCCCTATTTGAGAAACGTCCGCAGGCTGCATTAGCAATATTTTGTGCTTCTCTTCCAGAAACATAACATTTGCACAACACCAGTTTCTTGTTGGAAGGACATCTCAAAGCACTCGA